CCCAGCAGAGCCTTTCACACCCCTTTGCTTCATACAGAATAAAGGTGGTTTTTTTGTTGGCTGTATTATAGCAGTCTCTGGGAGCCCCCAGCTCGTGGAACCAAGTTTTATTTTATGAGGAGGTATGAATGCACAGAAGAAAAATTCTGTTCCTGCTTCAGGCACCCCAGTGTGGGCTCAGTGACTCGCACGAGGGATCAGCACATTGTGACAGTAGGTTTAAGATATAAGTGCTTGGTCAGTTTGCATACTGTGGAAGGATATGAAGATCCACTTTAAGTACAGCAAAGAGCCATGCCATTAAATTCACTTTTTTGTTCCTCCACTGTGAGAAACACCCGTGTTTGGAAGGGGTTTTCATGTGTCCATCCCAAAGCCACAATTTCCAGCACCAACAGGCAATGGGCTGTCCATAAAGCTGAAAACTTAGGTATGCATTTGTACAGTTTGGGTGGCCAGGGAGAACAGAACACCCTTCGCAAAGGGCTGGGAAGGAGGAGTACCCCTCCCTCTGTGTGTTTGCACCCACTGTGTGCACAGTGCCAGGGCTGGGGCAGAGCAGGGCAGAGCTGTGGACACGAGCAGCTCCTCGCCCCAAGCAGTGCTGGTCCCTGAGTGCTGGGTGCCTTCCCTGAGGTAACTCGTGCTGCTTTTGCTCTCATCTGTGCTCTTCTTGGCTTTGCTTTTGGTCTTCCTCTGCTGCCACTTCTGTCCCACTCTTGGGTGCTGCATGTGCTTCATGCTAAGGGGGTCTGGGAGCTCCAACAAGCCCTCAGCTTATTATTTTTGGGCATTAACATATTTCATATGAATTTTCCCTTTCTGTGCATTCGTATTTTCTGCAAAAAGACAGAAGAATAAAAGGATCTGCTTTCTGATAGAGTGTTTCTACCATCCAGGTTGGGATTGTTCACCTCTGTGCCATTGTTGAGCTGTTCCCACCCTGGGAACAGGGGTGTGAATGTTTGAACAATTTTGCTTTTCCCATTTGATTACAATGCAAAGTGGCTGAAGGGATTGTATTAAAAACTGCCCGTAGAGCCTCAAGGACTGTAATTTTGCATGTCCTGAATGCACAGCCAGCTGCCTGGCTGCAGCTTGAGTTGTTCTTGGGTGTTTCTTGTTTGCGCTGGGTGAGTCAACTCAATCCTTCCTTCTGTCATTTTGCTGTCCATTGTCTGTTCATTTCTCCTCCGTGGTCACTGACAATCCTTAGCTTTATTTGTCGCCTGGTTTCATCATACCCAGCACGTGTCTGAGTTATCTTTTCCTGCCAGGGAGCAATTGAGATCTGCACAGAAGAAAGGTAAGGAGACAGACTAAAGCTTCTGCTTGCCTGGCTCCATGTGCATCACAGCAGGAGCAATGCTTCTCTGCCTGGACACGGCTCCATGTTCACTTGTTCTCAAGAGGCAGGCTATAGAGACGTACTGGAGAGTATAGGATCCAGCCCTCACCCTGAGGACACAATATAGATGTTCTTTGTGTGAATTGGTGGATGTTAAGTCCATCACTGCCTCTGGAACTTATGCAAGGTTTTTTTGGTCTTTTTCCAATGCTTACGGAGTAGACATATCTATAATGAAATGATATGCAAAGTGAACTGGTTGAAGTTGATCTTTGTTCTCTTCTGACATTTAAGGATAACATATGACAAGTTTTAGTGAGGAATCAGCTGAATCAGCCTGTACTTTCTTTATTAACAAACACTTGATACAGGTGATTGTAATGCTGTAGGTTGGTCAATATATTATGAATGTCAGCACCTGGCTTTAACCAGAGTACCCAGCAGACCACAGATTTTGCTGTAATCTTCTCAGTTTTCAAAATGCTTACTGCACCATTGAGAGCAAAACAAAGGCTTTTGAGAGTGACAGAAAACAGCAAATTTTACCTAGTGTGGATTTCATGCTTGAGGCATACTACAGTTCGTGTAACATAAAAATAATCTTTAAAGTACAATTTGACATTTGGATTCTTTTCTTTACTGTAATAGAAGCAGTGAAACATTATCTGGGCAAGGAAGGGTTTCTGAGCTGTGTCTGAGCTGCAGACTGGCAGTGTTCCTTCCAAACCAGTCCGGTTACATTCCAGCAGGGCTGTGAGCCCCTCTGAGGGTAAATAATATCTTTGGAGGTTAATCACAAAATCCGTATCTAGAAAAGTACCCTAAGGATGAGAATGTTCTGACTCCATTTCCTCTCAAGTTTTGAGGGTTTGTTCACATTTTGGAAACGTGTTCTTGCATCAGGATCCTTTCCTGCTTTCATGAGCATCTCCCAGCAGCACCGATGGGTCCTGTACCGCTCAGAAATAGCCATGATTAATAATATAATATAAATAGTCATAGTCTCTGCAGCAGCAACTCCTAGGTGCCATGCCAGAAGTGAATTGCTGTGACATTGCTCAATTGGCCTCTTGAATTTCTGCCCGTTTGATACCATTTTGTACGATATCCCCTCTGCCGATTCTCAGTTTTGTCTATAGGTGGCAGTGATCTTTCACTTTTTTTTTCTTTAAAATAAGGCAGAAAGATACACGCACGAAAATCCTCCTGATTTTACTGGACAGTCTGGACCAGACATGAGTTCAGTACTGTGAGGAACAGCTACAGAGTTGCCATCATTCTTCTGTTGCCACTTTGCCCCAGAGCATGCTAAAAAGGGAGTCGTAATACTGCTTCCACCATTTAAATCCCAATGCAATAATCAACTGCAGTTGCAAGGAGGTAGAAGTCTGAAAAGATATTATATACATGCATGTGTATGCATGCATGATGGAGCTCTGTCTTCTGGGATGTATTCCAGGGCAGTTATACAGCAAGTTAGTCCCGGTCTTTTAGCAAAAATAGCCTGTGAGTTTTTTCTGGCTTCTTGTGAGGGGTAATATTTTAAAAGCCCACATAACCACTGTATGTGTTTTATTTCAATCAGTATTATATACTTGATTGCAGAAGATGAGTAATTTTTCTCCCAGGAAAAAATACACCAGAGATCAGAGCCTGTGATCTCTGTTCTGTATCAGTTAAAGATAACTTATTTGATGCAAATAGAGCTGCATCAACAGGAAACTGGAGCCGTTGAGAATCAAGCTACAAATCATTGTAGAAATAAATAAGAAAAAAAAATAGGATTTTATTTCTCTCAGATGTGCTCTGATTTTACAGCGCATGCGAAAATGGAAGCATGCAGCCTGCAAATATTCCATCCACTGCTTAAGTTGTCTCCTGGCATAAACCAGGAGGCCTTGGGAATGGAAAACAAAAGTAAATCCTCCAGATTCAACAAGATACTAAATTTACCACTGAGAGTAAGCAGTAGGATTTGAATCTTGTTTTCTTCTCTTCCAATAGAATAATATTCAATGTTGCTAAGAAACAGAACTACATAGCAAGGACAAGAGGCCATTGTACATCCAGGGGGAGAAGCTGGCTGTTTTCCACAATAAATCAGAAGTTCTGATTTATAGTGGAAATATCAGCTGAGAAGATAAAACCCGCATAAAATAAGTCTGCATCTGAAATCAAGGCTCGGTGCTACAGCTGCTATCAGTGTGGTGATTCTCAACTGTACATGGCTGCAGTTCATGTTTCAGCATCTTTTGGTGGGGGTCATTTGGTGTCCAGCTCAGCACTGGGCAATCAGAGAACAAAAAAACAGGCCTGAAGAGAGGCCCAGTTTGTATTTCATGTCAACTACGATGCAGCATAAAATAGAAACCAGACCTGAATTTCTCTGTACATGGACTGTAGTTAGCAAGAACCCACCATCTGAAACAATAACTGAAAGCAGACACTGGAGGTACAAGCTGAAATGAGAGCTTCCCCCTGATTCTGAGATTGAATTTTTAAGGAACAATGCTTTTCCTCCTTTTCTCCAATAGCCAATGGCTGCTTAATGAAAGCACTAAGGAAGGAGTTGTCCCACCATGCCACTACAACCTCCCTGACTCATGCAGACGTTCACCAAAGCAACACTGGACGCTTGGCACTCATGGTGCCCATGCCAGGAATCCAGCATTATGCCTGGGGCTAGAACTGGATTCCTGGCATGGGAACCAAGGCTGCAGTCCTCAGACTTCCTCTCTTTGGAGACCTCCCTCCATCAAGGAGTGGCTCAGAAAGGTCTCTCCTTATTGTTCGCTTGTGAAGCCTAATGTTTATCCTCAGCCAAAGTCAATAGGAACCTTCCTCTACATTCAACCTTCAGCCACATTGCAGGGGATGCATCCGCTCCCAAAGAATTCAGAGAGGACATAAATCTATCTCAGATTGAAAATTTTAATTATCTAACAAGCTAATGGGAATTAACAAGCTAAGATTATGCTTGAATTGCAGTCAGAGCTTTGACTCCAACATGTAGGAATACAAGAAGCAGTCTTAAACCTGCCAAATATGGGCAGCAGTGATGCAACTGTATCAACACAAGATGCAGAAAGCTCTAAAAACACAGCCAGGACTATAGGAGAACACCATGGGGGCTGATTGATGTCCTTGCCTTGCTGCAGCTAGCCAGGGAACAACCCTCAGCCCATCTACCAGCTGCAGCTGAGTAGCAAAAGCACCTGGAGCTGCCCCACATTTCATAGCCATGGGCATCTACTTTTTTTCTCACTTGTTATTTAAAAAGCAACAACAAAAATGTAAACCTCTGCAAAGCTGCTGTAATTCTTTCATATAATTTGGTCTTTTTCACTTTATTTTGCTATTAGCTCCAATTCTTTCCTATCTAATGAGTCCTAACAAACAATGTAAGTGTGACTGCCTCCAGTTTTCCTCAAGAAAGAATGTAATCCATGGCATTTCCAGTAAGTAATTATGAGCCCCTATGAGTAACCAGGCTGGAACACGTCTGGCTGATGCAGGCTGATGACTAGGGCAGGTGTTTTTGAGAAAACAGGTGGGGCTTATCAGGAATTTAAACAGCCTATCAAAGTCTATTGACATTGGTTTTCTCTCAATTTGAATTGTTTGGTAAACTGATATAAATGAGAAAGAAGAATTGTACTTTTCCTTCCTCTCCACTTCATAGAAACTATGGGGAACGCAGGGAGTGCCCCAGAGGAAGTTGAAGGGGACCACACGTGTCCAGTAATAAGCTATCAGGTAATTAAGAGCTGCCCACACTCACTTTCCTTGGCTGTGACTTACTGCAGTCATTACGTTTCAGATCTCATGGTGTATCTAATCCTAAGAACCATTTTGTTTGGTATTTCAGGCTCTCCCTGAATCTCCTGCAACTGTTAAAAATGGATCTGCTGTATTTGCCCAGGATCATTCTCCTGCAATGAATGGTGGAGGTATGCACTGGGGAGCATTTAAGTCTCTTTTTGCTACGAAAGAGAGAATATTATGCTGGGGCAACAATAAGTATTATGTATGGTCTCAGGTTAAGTGATGAACTCATGTTTTAGTTCTTATCTCTGAGTCTGTTCAGCATGAAGTAATACATGGCAAGCACGGTTTGATGGTGGTTGATATACCTGTAAATTGTGAATGTTAGTTTGGAAGTAGAATGGTATCTGCTGTGGCTTGGCTCATGCATGTTTTCCTGTATGAAGTAAAGAACAGAAAAAGGAAGAGAAGTATCAGGTGCTTTTGGAGGGTGTGGGTAAGTCGCTGCCTCAGTAAGAGCATTCCATTTCTCACCTATTTCATGATGTGTATAGCAGGGCAGCAATAAGGCTGGCGTATGATGCTAGTGGAGGCAGGCTGGATCCTGGTCTCCAAGAAAAGAGGTGCCTGTCAACAGCTCAGCCCTGCTCTCCTTGTTCACATCCTTTCTGAATATCAACTGTGAAGTACATGGTTTAAGTGCTAAAAATTGGGCTGTGAGCGATTTTGAAATGTTGTCTCCACGTATTCATGGGCAATTGCTCTCAGCCTCAGATCTCTCTCTCTCTCACCCCTTACACTTCAGCACCTCATTAATTTCTCCTACTACCTCTCATTGGCTCTGGAGCCGTATTAAGCAGCGCTCACTGTCGCAGCGTTGCTTCAGTTCATGTCTCTGCAGATCCAGCCAAGTTAATTTTACCACTGTTTTCCTTGCGTTAGGTTTCTTTCTATTCTCAGAACATAATGAAAGCCAACAATTCTCTCCAATCTCAGTAAGGAAAGAAAATATTATTCTATTATTCATTGTTAAGAAAAACTTCTCAGCCTGTTACATCCAGTTGAAAAATCTAAATGTAGACAAAAATAATTAAGTCTGGTATGGAAATAAGCAGATGGTACTGATTGCCATCAGAATGCCCTGTTCCCTGCTACATTTCCTAATGCTACCTAGCTGTAAGAAGTCAGTTGAAATGGCTGCCCACTAAAAACTACAAGCCTGTCATTGTGTGCTCCTCCTAGTGTAAACCAGCAGAGTTCTGGGCAAAATAAAAGCCAGGTAAAGACTTAGGAAGTAAGTGCATGTTTTAATTTCAACATGTAAAATTAAGCATATGTTATTATTTTACTCAAGTGGTTTCCTTAATTAATGTAATTACTAAACAAGTTTAAGTAGCAAGCTGAAAAATTGGACTAGGCTATGTTGATATTACTCTGTAATTTTATTAATGTTTAAGGAATAGTTGAATCATTAATTACTGAGATACCACTGAAATCATTCCAGATTTTGTAATTTGATCAAGAAAATCTGGTTGATATTGGGGGAAAAAAAAAGGCAAAAAGTAGTGCAGTTATTTATTTCGTGCAGCAAAAGGCAAGTGAAGCAAGTGGGCTGTGATAACAGATATGTCTGTGGTCTTCATCTTGTTAGATTGCCAGAGATACGGCCATGTGCTGTGCATTAAAGGATAGAGTTGATAAATGAGCGTATGAAATCTATATCTGCTAATATAATGAAAAAATGGAGTTGTGAAAGTTAACTTAATATGACTAGGGGAAGTAATGCTATTTGGGAGAGCCCCATCACCATCTGCTTCACATCTGGGTGAGCAGGTTGGTGACTTCACTGCTTCTGCTCTAACAGCCTGACAGATGTGTGGGCTTAGGGATTCTTTCCATTGCTTGCCTTTCCTGCTTCTCCTGATTCTCTGGGCTGCAGGCATTGCACAGTGCTATCATCCACCCTTCCTCCTGTAAAGCCACTTAAATACAGTGGCTCCCTTACATCTTCCTTGTGGCAAAAAGATAATGACTTCTAATGTCTGCTGCTGGCCTTTCTGAACCTCAAGTGATAAAAGTGCTCAGTTAACAACAAGGGAGGGGGACAGAGCTAGCAGCAGTTTATCCCTGGGTTTGAACCACACAGAGTATGCATGCCTGTTGTCTCTGTGATTGTCTGACTTCCAAGGAAGAGAATAATGCTGCAGTTCTGTAATTACATTGCTAAACAACTGGCTTTTATTCAAATAGCCAGGGATAAGATGATCGTATTTTTAATGCCCTGATCAGACGAGTTCTTGCCTTTCCCCTTCCCCCCTAAAAAAATACAGACCCATTTTCTCCTAGCACTTGTTTTATGGCGTGCACTAGTAGCCAGGAGCAGGATGTGTCTGTGCTGAGGACCTTGGCGATTCAGGTTGTTCCTCATGCAGTAGCTATAAATGAGGTGCACTGTGGAAGGCTCAGCAGGATAAAGGACAGGAAGCAAGAAATTGCAAACATGAGACATCACAGGATCTTGCTGAAGATGTTCCCTGACAGTATTAGCTATGGGAGTGAACGTAGCTGCTGAAAGAAGACTAGCAAGCACAGGCTAAGGAGAAGGATTGTGTTTTAAGAAGGAATCTGGAGGATGTAACCATACAACCTGAGTATTAAAAATAGATGTTCACCCAGAATGTGGCTTAAGCTGCTGCTAGGGACTTAAAGAGCAAACAGATTCAGAGAAAATTGGGTTAAGTGAGGAAAGCAGTCTGGAGGTGCTGGGCAGAAATGCTTTTAGTCAGACATTGCTGTACGTTTCCAGGCAATAACAGAGACTTTGGCTAAAAATGAAAACCTTTATGGGAACAAAAAAAAGGCTGAAATGTGTCAAGAGGTTGGAAAATGTTTTTGTCAAAGTGGCAACATTTCCACCGAAACAATGATTTCAAAAACTTTCTCCTTTGCAGTTTGCTGTGAATATGGCATGCATCAAATCCTTCTGTTCACCCACCACGTTAATACCCCCTCTCTGGTGGGAGGATCTGCTTTGCCTGGTGTCTGAGCAGACTTTCTCTGGTGTACTTGGGACTGTTTTGACACAAGAGATGTGCTGCAGAGCACATGCCAGTGATGCTTTCCAGGTCTTTCATTCCTGCAATTACAATTAGAGATAAAAGTAGCTTGATAGGTTCATGAGCTACTTTTGTTGAAGATGATCTTATATTCTATTTTTATACTAAAAACTGTGCTTTGTTTTTTATCTATTACATGAAACAGAAGTTTGGCATTTATTTCAATTATTTTCCAGTGCATATTTTTTCTGCTTCAGCTGGAGATGGATTTGCTTTTTGTTTTCTTCCCAAGTTTCCAGCTATAATTAGTAGTTACATCTTCAGTTCCTTGTCCCATATAGCACTAGAGGAGGTTTGGGAAACTGTAACTGATGCCTCAATAGATATGGGAGCTGAATTATTTGCACCTTTTCTTTGCATGTCAGTATGTTGAAATTGATTTTGGTGGAATATTGTAGAATAATATTACTGGCAAAGGAATCTTGCCAGCATGAGTCATTTTCTTGCCTGAATAGTAACAATTCAGGGCAAGAACCTTTCTCTATTAGAGGGCACAAAGAAACAAACACCTATTTACCTGGGCAGAATATGTTGTATGGAGGAACTCTGGGCCATCTGCATGTTTGCACGCACACACACAAATAAGAAAGCAAATGTCAGATGTAAAATGTTGGAAGCAGATTCCATGCCCTCCTGGTGGCTGCTGAGATGCTGGCCTTGGCTGTGGCTGTTGCAGTGGCAGTCTGTGCTTTGACAGCTGTTGCCTTTGCAGCTGGAGAGCATTTCAGTAAATTTGCTTAATGTGTAAATGATGACATGCCAACACGCTGGCCCATCTCTGTTGGGAAGCTGGTGTAACTCTAGTGTGAAAAGCTAACACGTAGGTAGGGCTTTTGCAATCTAAAAATGTTCAATTTTCCTTATCTTGAAAAGGAATTTTTAAAATGAAACAACATTGGGAATACATACTGTGGGAGACAGGCATTTATTGGCAACTGGAATTTCATTTGTTACAACGCAATGCAATATTGCCTAAAGATTATAATAATTACTTGACATAATTTCAACTTTACTCTGAAAACAGCAATTTTTAAATTGAATTTTAGCAAGTTAGGTTGAGACTGACAATTTTGCCCAGCTATAATTAAGTAGAGCTAAACTTACGCTTGAAGTCTGTGTTAGTGATTGACAGCAAAAATAGATATCTATCCCAGTCAAAGCAAAGAAGAGAAACTGAAGACATAAGGCTGGCTTATCTCCTTACAAGACTCCTTGTTTTCTGTGGTTTCACACTGCATAAGCATCAGATTTGGTCTTCTATCAACAAAACAGACATAAGAGGCATTTTTCTCTTGCTGCTTTTGTCTTGTACAATGCAAGATCCTTTCTCATTGCTTATAAAGTACTTGGGATTTTTTACTTCATGTCTATTAATGAAGTATCAATGTAATATCAATCATGAAATATGCCTCTAAGATGGAAGTCTTTTTTTTAATCTGAAGTGTAATGGCTATATGTACTCAAGGGAGAATTTTGTGAGAGTTTTTGGCAGAGGAAAGAAAGGTGATAGTCTTATCCTCATGAGTGAAAAGAGACAAAAACAGGAGGATACAAAGTCCAGCTCAGATGTGATTTATAACTGCTCAAATTAAGTTGAAACTAGTCTATAAAAAACAGAAGATTCTAAGTAGAAATGGCTCTATGGAGAGTGGACAGGGAGACAACAGGGTTGGAAAACTGAGTGAGATAGGCTGTGACTGCACAGGGAATTTGGCAAGCCAGGAAACAAAATCAATCCTCTGTTTCTGATCTTTATTTCTGTCCAGCTCTGATAGAGGGAAGTATAATAATATGGAACTTTGTCTCAAGTTTTATCAATACTTTTGCGTAACACTTCTTTAAGTTTAATTGGAAAGTAGCTTATACTCAGATGAAGTGAATTCACCCAGACCACTGGATTAGAATGCTGAGGGCACTGGGGCTGATTTATTTCTTGTAACATGCCTGCTATGCTGAGTACCCCAAAAGCTCAGTACAACCCAGCACTGGCAGCTGAGCAGGGGCTATGCAGAGCATAGTTTGCACTGATATCAGTGTGGGACGACAGGATGGAAAATCGGACGAGCTGGTCCTACAGATAAGCTGCAGCTTGTGCTCAGTGCAGGAAAACAACAGGGGCTTTAAACAAGCTGTGCTGTGTGGTCCATACAGGCGCTCCAATCTCAAACTACTTTATTAAGGAGGGTGGTCACCGTGCTTAATTGTACAACCCTTACAACCTCTTTGCTGTGTGGGATAATTACCGTTCCGTACTTTTTTTGCAGTGGCTGTGAAGGAGAGTGGTGCACGGGATAATGCAGCTGCTTCTTCCCCAAAGACAAAGGAGCTGAGTGCTGCCGTGGTGGGCAGGGAGGCTGCTGGGAGCGCTGCCAGCAGGGCTCTGCCATCTGCAAAGCTCCGCTCTGTCTTTGCGTTTTCATGGTCTGTACCAGGGCGTACTGAAGACCCAGCGTTGGATTCATCGGTCGGATTGGCGAAGCTTGATGTCAGCTCGGAGGCACACGGCGTGAACAAAGCACCGAGTGACAGCGCGGCCTCCCCTGCGGCAGCTGCGCCTCAGCACAGCACCCATAAAGAGCCAGACCAGGCCCTGCCAGCAGCCGCACCTCAACTCAGCAGCCCCACAGTGCCAGGGACACCTGAGGGAGAGGATGCGGTCGTGCTGAAGCCAAAACAAGTCAACTTTTTTGACAAGATCTTCAAACTGGAGAAGGGGAAGGAGAGGAGCCAAGTGCAGCCGGGTGCCCAGGAGGGTGGGCAGCCTTTGGGTGCTCCTGACGGGCACAGCACTGCACAAGAGGCAGCTGGACCGCAGAGTGCTTCCCACAGCATCCCGACTGAGAAGGTAAGTGCTGGGACAGGGCTTTCCATGCCACATTTAAAGACAACTAGAAACAACAGGACAATGGGACAGGGCTTTCCATGCCACATTTAAAGACAACTAGAAACAACAGGACAACCTGTTGCAGTGATGGCTCAGTGGGGTGAGTTGGTGGTCTTAAAATTTACTGGAGGTAATCCCTGGGAGGGGAACCCATGGCAGGGCAGCAGCAGCTCTGATCTGTGCGCAGGCAAGGTAACAGTATTAATGCTCAGTAGTCTGGATGGTGAAGAATGGCCATCTCTCAAATGAGGGCCAAAATACCTGAAGGTAAGTTTGTTACTTGTGCTTTTGGTGTTTGATACCAGATAGTTCAAAGAAATTCTCATGGAATGGTTGCTCTTCTTGAGCAGTGTCTGCTTATTGCATCCCATGCAATATCCGTTAAGGAATAAGATGTAGTAAAAGTTTTTGTACTATTAGTCATTGCAAATTCTAGTCAAAGAAATCCAATCCTTAGGGCTGATTTTGCAGGAGGGGAGAATGCAATATAAGATAGCTTGTCATGGAGAGCTTGCCAGACACAGGAGCTGGAAACAGATCTGGATTTAGTGTGTGCATCAAGGAAATGTGTTGTTACTTTTAGCAGTATCTGTTTTATAACCCAAATGCTATCCTTTTGTCTGAAACGGAAGGGCAGATAGCAATAGAAGATAAAAATGGTCAGAATTCATCCTTTTGTTACTGTCCTTTGTTACCAGAATGGGTGTAACATCTCAGTTCTCAGGCTTATCACTGGGATGGTTCACTGCCTACACTTCAGCCCCAACACATATCTAAAATAAAGTCTATTTTTCAAGGACAGGATGATGAGATTTTTACACTTCCTGGTAAGTCTGAAATCACTAAAAACACTGTAGGATTGATTTTCAGCTGCTAACTGTGGAAAACATTCAGTCTTTGGTTTGAGTGTAAGTAGCATAGCTCTTAGTTTCACTGGAATGGTGCCAGTCTATACTACCAGGGATTTAGTGCAAGTGCTGTGCAGGGCTGGGAATAGGAGGGAGGCACTGGCTGCATGTCCTTCCCTCAATGGAATCTCTAAGTGCCACTTTAATGGTGATGGTTTTTATCTGATTACTTTGGGCTTTCAAATAACACTGCTGCACTGAAACTGTTTAAAATAATGTTGAACGTGTCTCAGAGGATGCTCACTGCTAGAACTGACAGTACACGTTATCCCCAAACATCTCTTCAACTTCTATTCTTCTACTTCACACTTGAGGAAATATAAAATAGAGAAGATCTCATTACTTGTACAAATGTAAAAATTGAAATATTTTTTAAGATTAGTTCATAAGACTTAGGTGACAGTTTTAACTGTTGTGTTTCAGAAGTGTAACCCACCACCAGTATCTCATCTTTACGTTACTGTAAAGCATCTGTAGTCTCAGCCTTAGCATCCAGTCATTCACTCAGACATGGATCAGAATGAATCATCTCTCTGATGTGCTGCTGTTGTTTCTATTTGTAGCTATTACAACAAAGTTTTTCAGTGTTGTAAACTCCTGCAGATATTGACTAATACACACTGCGTAAGATTTGCTGCTTGCTGGAATAGTTATTTTTTTACAAACAATTGTCTGTTTTATAATGACAAATCATTTCCTGTTTTGCTGAGACTGTAAACAGAATGCAAAAGGTCACAGTTCTTCCTGTGGAAGGACCATGGCATGAAATGTTTTCTAATGAAATAAGCTGAAGTAGCTTTAATTGGAAGTCTGAGTTGCAGACTTGCTGGTGATTGGGAAAGATCAATCAGGCATTTCTGATGAGCATCCATCAAGGGATGGGGGCAGGACAAGAAATTCTAAAGCTTTTTTGCTAGTTGGGATGAATTAGAAGCACTGCTTATCTGGAGGATTGTATCATAAGGGAGAGTGACATTTTTAACCTTATCCTTGAATTTTCTGATGATAATTCTTGTCTTTCAATCCTCAAATATACAAAGGAAGGAGTATGCCCTGGGGACAGGGAAACAGTTGATAAGGGCATTTCCTGGGAGAAAAGTAGCAGCTGAACACTCCTGGTATTTGCCAGACTTTAACTGCATTCCTAAAACAGAATCTGAGACTCTGCCTTGCAGTGCAGTTGCTTCTGTTTCCTCTAAAGTTGCTCATTCTCGTGTAGGACGGAGGAATTACCAAATCTAAATTAATTACTGTTACTTTCTTAACTCTAAACTGTTACCAAATAACCATACTAAAAATCCAGATATTGCTGCTCACGGTTTCTTTAATTTCTTGTTGGATGATGGCTTGTAGTATTTCTAAAAGAGAAGGAAGACTTTCCCTGAGTTGAGTGCCAGCACATAACAAGCAGCATTGCTGGTAAGTAAGAGAGATTCCACAGTTGTATCTTAAGAGCTGCACAAACATTCTGTGTTTGGTGAAACACTCTTTATTTTTGTGGTCTACAAAACTACATTCAGAAGACAGCATAATTAAAACAAGGGCAGAATTCATGAATTCATGAAGCATTTACTATGTAAGCCAAAGAAAAGATAAATTATATGCCTGTAATGTTTCACTGAGCCGTGATTCATACAAACAAAAGTGCTGGCAGGAATGCATTCTTTTGATATCATTTTCTAATGACTGAACCGAAACGCCAGTGTAAGTACTTAAGGTGTTTATTGCCCCCAAACTTGGATTCCCAAAGAAATGAATTGAACATTTGCACAGGATCTGCTAACTTCTAATGGTGACTTTCTTCTGTCACTCTGAGAGTTTTCTTTCATTACTATTTGCCTTCAGGGCCCTGCACAATGCATTACACAGTGAGCTGCTGCAGAGCCTTCTGTGGTCATTTGACAATGGCTCTTAAAGTGCGTTATTGTGGGACTCTGCTATCTTTGATTTATATGCTGAAGGCCTGAGTCTGTACTCCTTCCTACAACAGTGTTCCCATGAAGGCAAGAAGGGTCTCTGCATCTATGCAAGGCCAGCTTTGACTGAGTTACATCAGGGTATCTAGTGGCAGTCTGGTTTGGAACTCCTGGCCTGGGAGCTCTGTTGCTTGGTGGCTTCTTTGTGCTCTGCATGCCAGGCTGCAGGCGTTTCTGGATTGAAGCACTGTGCCTCCAGCTCTTCGTGATCTGCAATAGCTTCCACATTTGCTGGGCAGTTTAGAATTAGCAGGGAGACGCTGTTAGTACTGCCTGTGGTGGTGGCTGTCATTTTTGCAATAGGTTCAGATAGTAGCTGCTGCTCATAATAGCTGTTTGCCATGATGTTTAACAGCTTTCTTCCTAAATGATGCACAGTCTAAGCAGGGAGAGCTCGGGTTTGGTCATGTGTAAAAATGTTTTTTTAATCGCATCAAACACTTTGTTAATGAAATCTTGTTTAGTGATGATGTTCCGCCTAAATGGTGAACTACTCTGACAACTTGAGTCTCTTGCCTCATGCTTTTGTTGCCCCTCAAATATCTGAAATAGAGCCAGCATTTTTCATAAAACCAGCACTCTTTAGATGGCATCCCTGGAGGAAGGGCTGCCAGAGCTGGCATGTCTGCATGTGTTCTGCATAGGACATATTGTTCTTGGAACTACTTGGGCCTCTAACTGGCAGCTGGACAAAGTGGTGTGTTAGGACCTTGAAAGTAACTCCTAAACAGCCTGTTGAAACTTCTGAGCTACTGTGCTGTGTTTCTTCATGGGTAAATTTGGAACGTGGTGGGTGGAGAATTAGAGAATTCTGTTCTTGTAAGTAAAGCTGCCTGTTTAGCTCCTTAAAAGCTGCATCAAATTGGTCACTCTGTTCATTTTTTTTTCTAATGCCAGGTTAACCTCCTGAAGTCTTCACTCACTTATAGATGTTTATTCTCCTCCTCTAAAAGATCTACGAAAAAGTAGACTCTTTAAAAGGCCTATAAAAATATTGGTTTAAATCCCTTGGTCTAGGGAAAATGTTCCGGAGTACAATTTAATATTCTTTAATATTTTTTCTGGTCAAAATCAAATGAGTATTTCTATTTGGAAGTATAGGAAAATAAAAAATTAAATATTGGTGTCACTTAATACTGTAGCTGGTCAGTATTTCAAAGATGCTGTGCACTAGTGACACCTGGACAGGCTCTTCTCTTCTATTTCTTGTCTTAATTTTATTTCTGGAGTCATCTGGGTATCTAGTGTCCTAACTACTGCTCCTCTAGTTGTGCCTCCTGGCTGACAAGATGTGTACTGCTGTCTCTTTGGGAATGATAGCTTCTGGAGAAATGCAGCATGGCTGGGATGCTCCAGTTAGTGAAGTCCAGGTCACCATCATGCTGTGCACAACTACTTCTCTAACAATGACTGATCCACTCTTACGTTTATGATGTACAGATGAACAAAAGGAAAGAATATTATTCAAAAGATTTGGATATTAATAACTAGATGCTATTAATGTTGGTCTTTTAAAGAGATGTTGAACAGGACATGAGGACTTCTCTTAAGATGATCTCTCCTGCAAAAGGTTTGTGTTGCCATTACCTGTGCAGGTTGAAAGCAAAAGCATGCAGAATGGCATAACAGTTCAGTGTAAAGGGGTTCTAAGCTCTCCAAGACTGATCTAAAAGACATTTGTCTCAGTGTCTGAATAGGAACAAGGTGGTTCTTAAGAATATTATACGCTTGTGAGTGCTTGAGTACTGGAATGCTATTTTTGGGCTCTGGTAAATAATTCCAGAGAGAGGAGACAGCTCAACCTGGCTCAAAAGCATTACTTTGAGTTGTTGCTTTTTTCTTTTTTATCTATACCATGCTTGTATTTGTAAGATAATTTATTTCTGGAGTTGCAGAATAACAGGGTGTTGGAAGAAATCTTTGTATGGTACAATCAGACACTGAGCCATCGAAGGCTGAAATCTCAGTATTTGTTTCTATTCACAAGTTTGGCCTTGGAAAGAGAAAAGCAGTTTTGTTTGGGATGCTGTGTGCAAGTTTACTTCTGTTATACTTGGTAGCTTGGAACAATGCTTCTCCAATCAACAGCAAACACTGAATATATTAGAAAAGAGGGGAAAGAGCTGTATAAATGCTCAATTGTTCAGAAGACGTAGGCTGGAGAAATATGGTTGGAATTAAGGTTGTGACTCTGAGGAACATAATGCGAGTCACAAATGTTACTTTTGCATTCCACTGCAAAGTAAGCAGGCTGAGACTGAGGGAACTCTGTCCCCGTTTTTTAGGAGATAGATGACTGCAACCAGAGGGACCTCCGGCAGGACTCAGCAGGTGTCAGCGGTCTCCCTGCTGGGCAGCCTGAAAAGGCAGAGGTAAAGCAAGACAACACCCAAGCAGCTGCTGCAGTGGACAACAACCCCGTCATGAGTTTCCTTAAAACGCTGGTAAGCACTGCTTTTCCTCTTCATCTGCATGTTCAAACTGATTGCTTGTAAAAATCCTGTGTGGCCACGCTTAGGTTAATGCAGTGTACTCACTGTCATGTGCACTGAGGAATAATGAAGCCAAACAGATGCCTTAGAGAATGGTGTGAGAGGTACAGGGAGATGCAGGCACGGTGCAGTTGTGAGTTAATGATGCTGACCTACTCTGAGATCGTTCCCTGCTGCACAGACACCTGCAGACCTGGAGGCATTTGGCTGCCTTAAATATCTTCTGTGTATTGAAGCACTGATTTTTTAAATTTTCTAATGTTTTCACTTTTATGGTGTTATTGAATTTTATACAACCAACATAATTTTTGCTCCCTATATCTTTCATCTTTGCTACTGCCTTTAGGTTACTCTTGAGAAATATTTGTTTTAGAAGTTTTCCCATATGTGGGGAAAAAAGTCTGTGCCTTTCACCTTTGTATTCAGGAAAAAGAAATCAACTTATGATGATCCTTCAAAGCTTTTGAAAGATTTAGATACAACTTTTTTTTCTCAAATGTATTTAAGGTCTCCCCAAGCAAAGCTGAAGCCAGAAGTGAACCTGAAGACAAGGTAGGCAGATCCTCATTTTGTCACTGGTAAATGTATGGGCTTTAATGCAAGTATTTCTTCATTGTGTTGCTTCCTCCCCCACTGATATTATCATTTGCAGAAATAATTTAAAATGTTATTCCATCTGAATAAGTTGGAAAGGAAGACGAGCATGAATAAAGTGTAACTCTATTTCATACATTGCAGTCAAGATCAGATCTGCAGTCTCTTCTGTAAGACTCGAGTCCTGACATTTTTGTTTGTTAGTGACTTGCCCTTGCAAGGTCCTTGCAATGGAATCTTCCTGAGCCCACAGGAGCCCATTTTTCTCATAGAGCTGAGTAAAGCACGTGGCTCTTCACATGCCATAAGGCAGATGTGCATCTCTGCCATCTCTCTGCACACTGCAGTGCTGCACCAAGGACATGAGCCCCCAGGCACAGCAGCTCTGTTAGCTGGATTGGGGCAGACCCACCTACTGCAGGACCACATCTTCAAGTGGAGGAGGCAGCTTGCCATTGAAATCAGTAAAGGGAAGCAGGAAACAAGGAAGGAGATCCCAGCATTTCCTCTCTGGGGCTCTTTGGAAGCTCTCTTGTTTGGCCCATGCTACAGCTGGAGCTAGTGGGCTGTCCCTCACAGCACAGACCTTAGGAAGGTGAGGGAGCTGCTATGGGCAGGACTGGGACTTGCAGAGAGAGAGCTGTACTTCCCAGAGCCATTGAGGATTCCTCTGCCCAGGTGCAGCAGTGAGGATCTGTTTGCTTCCCAGACTCAGACCTCAGTGGGGCAGACCTAAACTCAGGCTGTTCTAATGCAATACTGCAAGCTGCCTGCAAATGTTTTTAATGTTCCAGCTGGGAGATCAACTCCATATTGTCTAGAAACAGATACACAATGCTACCCAAGAACTGCTCCTCTTGCAGTGGGCAGACATGGCCTCTTGTGTTTTTCCTTAATAAACCATTTTTTTCTTGGATTCCACTGGCAGGAGGAGACTTGTTTCCGGCACATGAGCAGTGAGGGTCCTTTATTTGTGAGTTCAGAAAGACTTCACTATTATGGCCTTTCTTTGTTATAACATAGTGAAAATCTCAAACTGACTCAATGTGTTCACCAAGTTTATGAAAACTGCGAGGGCTGTAAAAAATTTAGAGTGGAAAATATAATATTTTAAAATGGAAAAAAATGTAGGTGTTGAAGGATTTCTCCTTCCCCCTTCTTTCCCACTGTTAAATTCATGCCAAAGCTTGTAACAGTTTCAACAGAAGCTGAATTGTGAGACAATCTGCATTAAGCTGCCTTCTCCTCGCTTAGTTTCAGAAGCCTGCAGGCACATCACGGGCTGTCCTGAGAGCTGGGAACACCCAGATTAAATGTGCTTACATTGTTTTGACTAGAACAACTTTTTTTTTTTCCCTTGCAACGCCTATGAAGAAATCTAACACCAAGAATAAATCCCTAGAAATGTTATTTCCACTCAGCTATCAGGTAACAAATTACTTCTGGCATCAGCATCTTTTTCTATCCCATTTTTGACCTTTTTGTCTGATTCAGTTTCTATAGTATTGTACTACGATGAAGTTTTTTTCCAGAACATCTTGGGTACACTATCTTTTTTTTTAGCTCAGTTCTGGGAGCTGTTAATTAAGGTTGATGCTTTCTAAGATATTCATGAAGGCAATGTGAACCTGCCCCTTCAGTGTGAGACTGGGGCTCTTTCAACAGCTTTTGAGAGCTCCAGCTGCTCAGTGTGGTTTCCATACTTTATTGTGTGCTCCTGCAACAGGTGACTGGTGAAGGCGTGCTGTAATTTAGAAACAAATATGCAGTTGGGGTTTGGTTTGCTATCACACCTGTGAGGGTAAACAAATTCAGATGACTAGCAGGATATGCAGAAGTTTTATATACTGTGGTGAATGTGAGTTGCTTTTTATGAAGAATTTTATCTTCGCTAGTATATTTTTGATCTGAAGAATGACATTTTCACTATATCCAAGAAAAATGTATTAAAATGGGTAATGTCAGCTATCAAATTTTTACACTTTCTACGGCAGTTGATGTGCATAATGAAATAATGGTCACTTTTTACCTCTGAAAACATTTCTGTCTTAAATGCATTTCCAAGTGTGGCTGAGCCTTTCCCAAGCACCAGAGTTCTTTGGTGTTGGTTGGCTGGCTTTCTTTTTGTTGTTGTTTTGCATTGCTTGAGTGGCACTGAGACCACTGTGCATTTGAGTCCCAATTGTGTCGCTGCTTATGCATCTGCTTTGTAGGAAGGAGCTGGGTTTTATTGCCCGTGGGCTGATACATTCCAAGTGACTCGACAGTGTTTTCTCACTGCTGAAAAGACAGGTTTTCTTCTGATTTTTCTTTTTCCTGATAATTTGGAGAAACATCATAGCAAAGCATGGCAGCACGCTCCCTCCTGGTGACATGCAGAGGTGTGCAGCACCACTGAGTTTGGCTTCATGCTCAATACTGGCTATGTAGCAATATGCTTTTATCAGGGATGCCCCTGGCTTTAGCTGGCTGCCTAAAGATGTGTGCTTTCAGCAGCACAGGCACACCCTTCATGGCTGTCACTCCATCCGTGTAAACATAGAGTTTAGCCTACAGAGTAAACAATGCTCAAGTGAGTCATAGGGGTGAATTGATCCTTTGTAAGTTTATACTAACCAAAAAGCATTCATTTGGCTCCTGGAGTCTTCCCCAATAGGAACTGACAGGACAGACATGGGGAAGCCTGTAATCGCACTGAATGAAACAACCTGAAGCCAAGATTTCAACTCAACGTGTTCACAAGTGTTGCACTGTGTATTTCACATCTTTTCTGCTGTCCTATTGGTAGCTGTCAGCCACAGTGCTTGATGCATTATGGTGTAGATTCCACAGACTGATTTGTTTCTTTGGAGTTTGATCACTTGTTTCTGTAGTTCCTAAATTTTTTTGGTCAGCTTGTTTCAAAGCTCTCAGAAGAGTGTGTAGTTTTTTCTAACCAAATATGATGAAAATATTTTTTTAATTAAATATTGGACTGTTTAATATTAACTAAATCAGGAAACAAATTGTATGAGGAGCATGTTATGGGAGATGGGAATGAAATTCAGGATGCTAGCAAGTATCAGCTTAAAATATTACGTGTTCCTTTCTAGTAAGTAATAACAAATGCATCTCAGTGCTTCAAGACTGGATGCTGAAGCCCCTGCAGTGGGAAGAGTGCTGCCCTGTTTGTGGTCAGTCACACACTGTGGGCATGTGCTCCAGGCTGCCAGCACAGCTCGTGCTGACTTGCTTAAGTGAGCTGCAACATACAAACAATGCTTTTGGGTTTTCCCCCTTTTTTTCCTTGTCAAAATACATGAAAGTAATGGGGAGGGAAGTAAAAAACAAATATTGATGTTTTTCTTTGATTTATAGCTCTTTGTAATGGATTTTACAGTGAGGTGCTCACATCTTTAGAGATCCTGTTTCCAGCTTCGGAGGGCAGTGACTTGCAAAAAAGTGCCCTTTGAAGACACCTAGAAGGGAGTGCAAGAACACCAATGCTTTTTGATTCAACACTTGTAATATTGTATCATTTTTTATATTCTTATATCTCTCTATTATGAACATTAGTGTGAACTTGTAATATTTCATGTGGTGTCTCATGAATATGGATATTGCACGTTCCAGAAATACTTCATTATGCACAACATTAAGTCTGTAGAAAACTGTTCAGTATATTCTCAAATATTTATATATTTACCCTGTTTAAACTTATGACCCCAAATTCCGTTGGCCGCTTAAGAATTTAGGATAATGCACAAGTGTACCCTCAATACTTGAGTGAACTGATTCTATCTGGGATCGAGTGGATTGCTGTATCTTTTGTATTTCATTCACTACTTGTGAAAGTTTTGTTGAACTGAGAAATGACTTGGGGGTGGGTGGGGGGTAGAATTTGTCCAGAGTAGAAAGGATATGTTTGCTTTGAATGCAAAGTACGTGAATGTTTGAGTCTTTTTCATGAAACAAACTGTGCAAGTTCTGTAACGAGTGCTGAACTTAAATGATGTTGCACAAAAGGGATCGAAAGCAGAACAAGGCCGTGGTGGGCAGCCTGCTCCGAAGACTGCAGAATCCCCAACCAAAGGAGCCAAGAAAAAGAAGGCAGAGAGTCCCAAGCTAGGACACAGCACGTTTAGCAAACTCTTTAGGCATAAGGTCTGTATGAAAGCCGGGGATGAGCAGAACCCTGAGCAGTAACAGATGGTTCCTGCCCCAGAATGAAATCATTAAATTTTGAACTGAGCTGGGTCTGACCAGCTGCGCTTTGCAGCGCTCTGAAAACCAACAGTGTGAGCTTTTCTGTGCCACACGTTGCTGAAACAACGTCAGTGTGCAATGTTTCACGTGTTATACCATCTGTGTGGAGTCAGGGTTCTGAAACCATTCCTGGAAGCTGCTGTGCCATGGGCTGCCCAGGTCATGCTTACTAATGCTTGCTAATGTCACTGGCTTCTTAAAGGGAAGATAAAATGTACTGACAAGCAATGGAGCATGCAGACACATCCGTGTCTGGATTGTAGGGTGGATTTAAGAGCTCAGTCCAACTAAAGTGTAAGGTTGATATTGAGATGCACAGATCAGTGGCTAAAATTGTGACCTGATGAACTGGGACATCCAACGGAGAGAAGAAATGAGAAATTTCCTTTTAAAATGTTACTTTTCTTTCAAAACAAAATTTGATAGCTAGTTGTTAAGTTTAGTTTGGATGGGAAAAGCTTGGATTTCAAGGGTAACTTAAAATAACTTATAGTCGGAAAAGCACGCTTCTCATGCAAATGGTGGTTTTCAGCAGTTTTAAAGTACTGAAACTTTTCATCATCCTCAGTGAAAGGCATTTCTGCTTTTTTCAGAAGAGGCAACGTGCCATGCTGCTCTGTGGCAGGGGAGCTGTAGCTGTTTAGCCCATAGAAATCAGAAGCGGAGACCCTTGGGCTGGGGGAGGAAAGTAATTAATACTTAATGCTCATTCAAAACACCCACAGGGGATCTGTGGGCCATTTCAGGGGCTCTGTATTTGAGGTTATATCTGAGCACAAGGCAAAGTGAGTTCTTTAATATTTTTGAAACAATTAAGTTCTTTCCACTGTCTTCCTGTTGTTGAGATTAAAACCATCATCTGCTTGTCATTGAAGGAATCTTGCCAGTGCATTAAGACTACAGTTCTTGCCAACTACTTAAACAATTAAGATGTTGTATATATGACACCGATTAATTTTTATTGAATACATTTAAAATATGAATCATTTCTCCATTAATTAGGGCTCCCTCTAGGTTAAAAAAAAAAAAAGGTATAAGCAGTTAGCTTTTTTTTTTTTTTTTAGGGCACTAAACCTCTTAAATTATCTCAGTCTTGAAATGAGTTGTTGGGAGAAATGGCTCCTTTTTGCTTTAGGCTTTGATATGATTTTTTTTTTTAATATCTAGGTCTGGAATGAGAGCCATTAGCTTAAGAAAAACAAACCTTCTTTTATTTTAAGATTAAAAAAACATGTCTTATGTGACTTCACTATTTTATTTACATAATTTTATTTACATACGCAAACATACAGGAAAAAAATGGTATTATTCATAATGTATTAAGAATAAACAAGATGAACTAAAATGGTGCATGTTTACTTGTAAGTCTGGTTGAAAGTAGAAACTCAAATCAGAACACTGATGTGACAGGAAAGCCCTGATTTTAGCCTTAGGTTTTATATCCTTGAAATGCCAAATGTCCAAACTAGATGAATAGGTAACAAATTCATTTATTTGAAATGATCACTTTAAGAGCATAGATATTCACATTTAATCCTAGGCACTTCCCTGGTTCCTCTGGAGGTTCTGTCTCTGCATGTCTTCAAACTGCACTTATCTCTTTTAATTAAGAGAAGACTGACTACTGGGTTAAGAAAAACCTTGTTTCTCAGTGTCCTGTGTTTACATAAATATGCACTAATTTCAAAGCAATGCATGAGCATCCTAATACAAATCCACATCGGGATTTGACCATTCAACTTCAGACTGAGTTTGAATGGTGTTTCACAGCTGTCCATACCTTTGTTCCCTTCCATGCATAGCTGTGTTGTATGCCAGTTTTGGAGCATCTGACTTATGGAATTCTAACTCAGAAGAAGAGTGTTAATCACTTATTTTCAGTGTTAGTTCTGACATCAGGTCATGGCGTTGACGTTACTTTTTATAATTTGCTCTGGCTCTTTCTCTTTATCGTTAACCAGAAAAAACAAGTTATTGGCTCCTGCAAAACAACTCTCGCCAGCTCTCTTAAGAGGTCTGCAGGCTGCAAAACCTGGCTGCTGGGCTGGCAATTACCTGAGATTGTGGCTTTCTATACCCTCCTCCATAAGGAAACCTTCTGTTCTGTATCCCAGAGGGCAAAACCTACTGCTGGAAGGCTGATGCTTGTGTGCCTGTGACCAGCAACAGACATGGTTCCATTTTTCATGCGTGCATGAAAAGCAACACAGGCAGAGCCAGCTATGAAAATCTAATGTCTTAAACCCCTGTATTGCGTCCTACCTGAAGAGATTGGAAATGTGTATGTAAACATTTCCAAACAAAACAAGTTGAAGACTGTAAGCACAGCACAATTAACGTGAAATGATTCAGCACAAGGCTGGGGAGGTGCTGTAGGTGGGACAGACGCCGGCGGTTCCTCCGGGCAGCCTTGCCTCTGTCAGGGATCAGTTTCCATGGTTGCAGGAGCCAGGACTTCCACAAACATTCACTAAAAATATGAGATATTGTGACAGACAATTCCTGAGCTGTGTAACTGAGCGCTGATGTTGTCAGACTTGTCTTTCTTTTGTTTCCCTCCAGGCTGTGAAGGAGACCCAACAGACGACTAACACCAAAGTGAGTAGGATGATTCCAGTTATCTGTGTATGAATAATGTAGTCTAAGTGTAATTATTCTGTCATTCTCAGCTTCAAAGTGTGGTTAAGTTTTTTTTTTATCAATTAATCCTCTCTGTTAGGAAGGGTGGGTTGCTACATAATTTGCTTCCTCTGAGACATCACTTCAAGACAGGGCAAGGCAGCTCATAAACTGCACCTTGCTGCTTTGCACGGCCGGTGCAGGGGCAGCCTGCTGTGCACCAGCCTCCTGTACCAGCTGATGCCCAAACTGCAGTCAGCTCATCATTCACGTGTTTCCAGCAGCTGATGTGTTTGTTTATTTCTAGATAAGTGAACAGCAGCCTGTCACCTCTGTAAAATCAGACAAAAATGTTCCTTCTGCTCAAGAGCCACAGACAGCTAAGCAGAACACAAAGGCTCCTGAGCCCACAGCCCAGCAGCAGGCAGCAGCCACTGAAGCCCCCAGAGAGGCAGCAAAGGAGAAAGGGTCATCCACCCCCATGCCACTGAGCAAACTCTTTTGGAAAAAGGTATGTCTGGGTTTTAAAGCTGGTCTGTCCCAATGCTCGCTCATCACCCAGTGGCTGGAGTTACTGTGGAGTGTGTGGTTTTACAGTAAAGCAGGCAAATCTGCAAAGCTGAGCAGATCCTGCACGCTAAGTGCGTAGGGACACAAATAATACATACAGCTGCACATGTTTATACGAGCTTTGGGCAGTCACATCTACACCTTGCCAGTAATGGCAATTGGGCTCCTCTGGAAAAATCCTGTAAAACCGCAATCTTTAAAACCTGGCTGCAGTATTTTCGAGTAATAGTATTAGTGAAAAAATATCAATCATCAATTTCACACATGCATTAAAAATCCCAGAAATAATATTATTTATCAAGTTATCTCCTTAATAGAGATAACGTAGAGATAACTACGTAGAAACGTAGTTCACTTCTGAGAAATGATTTAGTTCTGAATATCTAATGATTTGGTTCTGATGGGTCTATTCTTGTTCAGTAGAAAAGAAATCACAAGAGCGTATCATCTTAAAGTTTGGCAATTGAGGTCAGTTGTTTACAGAAATGCATTCCCCAGGTTAAATTGCCATTTTGACTTAAATTAGGACTGAGTCTGTTTCTGTGGTCCTGAGTGCTTTACCAGCTGAAGGCTGCTGCTTTCCTTCTTTAAGAGAAGAGCTGGGTTAAACTTCACTGAAACGTTGGATGTGGGATAACTGCTTTTCTGGGCTTCTGTTCAAGTTCCAATCCCAGAAATGAAATGCTTCCAAATACACAGATGCAGACCGAGCAGCTAGCCCTGCAGCTTCTGCAGCTGTATTTTCCTGTGGGCAGAGAAAGTGGAAATGGTTTGGGTGTTATTAGCAATTAAAAATATAATCATAATAAAAGTTTAGATATTTTCAGAGTAAACAAGCTTGAAACATTTGTTATTGAGGACCTTATTTCCAGTGGAACTGGATGAATTGGATAAATAGAATGACAGGAAACCTGTATGGGAGGAAGAGGGAAGGGAACATTTTTGTGTAGCCTCTATTGCTACGGAAGCCTCCTCTGTCGCTGAGTAGTCTGGCTTAGCTGAAAGCTAGGCTGGGAAGCAGGATGTATTGCTGAACATCAGGGTGAGATGAGGAGTCCTGCTCAATGTTTGTATGCAGTTGCAGCATAAAGTTGAGTAATAATTCTTGTCTGAAGCTCAGTACTTTCATAATTGAAGTAACAAAGCCCTTTGTATTCAAGAAAGGAAAAGAAATGGACAGGAATTTTTTCTTGTAGAAAAACAGGGAAAGAGGGCCTGTGTGGGAGGGGTTGGTGAACTCAGAAGTCTGGTAGAACCTCAGTAAGATTTCAAAACCTTATTTAGGAAGATCAGTTCAAACTGATGCAGGTACAGATCTTTGGGGTTAATGTAGGTTCTGTCTTTAGTGATCACCATAAGATCCCTGTGTTGCATATTGTATTTAAATTAGACCTACATAACTACCATGTGGCTTTTTAACTTGTCAACAGTTCTCACAGAAGTTCTGGCATCTCGAGCAGCTCAGGGCTGCACACTTCTTGCCAAAATCCTTTCACTTTTCTGCTCATAATGCTGGATCTAATTTTACATAAAAATAAAGCTGTTTACCTTGCTACCAAAACCACTAAGAGTTACTTGAATCATTGTACCAAATAACCTGAACTATATTCGTAGATGAAACCTGGCATCAAGCTTTGCAGAATAAGCTTTTTTATGCTTAATGTGAGCTTTTTGATTCTGGAATCACCCTGAGACCAATTATTTTTGCAAGTTTTCTGAGGGTAAACTTCTGCAGTACAAAACTGAATGTGGTCCTTAGGATTTAAAAAGTAAATAAATAAAACCTGCTTGCTTGAGGTTGAATCCTTACCTATGGGAGCCTCAAGTTGCTTTGCTGGATTCTCTTGGCAGACAATAATTCTCTCCTTTGAGATATCTGGGTGACCCAACCAGCTTGAGGCATAGTGTATAATGGCACTTAAAGTAGAGGTTAATCTCCAGCTTGGTTTGCTCTGAGGATTCTCTCAGATTGCTTGTGGAGTTTTGTTTTGCTGAGTTTCTTTCTGGCATGCTGAATGCACAGCTCTTTTGCTAGGGGGAGCGATGATGCTCACAGCTGTTCCATAATTCAGTCCTGTATAGTTCTTTTGAACTAACAAACAGCAACTGAAGCACTCCGAATTCAGACCCAACTGCTCTCCTTCCAGGCAGACTCTCAGATATCCATCTCCTGATGAGCTTTCAAAGCACAGCTAATGAAGTGACTGTCAGTGTGTTGCAGTTAATGCTGCAGCTCTGGCTAGAAGTGAATATATATGTTAGGAAAAGAAGTCCTCAGTCAGTTCTGCAGATTGAAACTGCTTCAGCCCTATTTACACCATTTCCTGATTGTTCCACATGAGAACACTAACAAGTGCTACTTCACTGTTTATCATAGAAGCATTTCTAGCAAATGTTAAGGAATATTAAAATAAAATTACAGATCATAATTTCACATATCTGTGCTGAAAACCTTGCTTCAAAACCTTGCAGATATAGGAGCAGGGCAGAGAACTGCAGTGCTTCCTTTACAGTGAATCAAAAGTGTGCAAGTAAAGACTGGAGGAAATCTCAGGGCATTAAGACTGCCGTCTTTAAAAATTAAAATTAAAAGTAAAAAAATTGTCTTTAAAAGCAGATCAATTTAAAGCTAAAAAAACAAGTTGATGCATTACAATCTGTTGCCATACAAACACAGCACAATAGTGCTCTTCTTACTGAGGAGAATTTATGTACCAGTAATACAAATAGCCATCAGGTTAGCTATTAAGTGAAGCAGAATGACACCTTTTACTGCTGATTCTGCTACTGTGTCATTAGGAAAGCAAAGATAAATTTTTGGATAGAGCTTGCAGGATAAATGTTAAAACTACTCAGGACTTATGAAGTTCCCACCATAGTTTCCCTGCTCCGGACCTGGAACACATACCCTGGCAGGCAGGACAGGAGGGGATTCTGGTCCTTTTTGCAAGGTGAAGATCTCAAGATAAAATAACTTCTGCAACAACCTTGTCTAGTAGAGCAGAAATTAAAATAACTCAGTAGGTAAACGGTTCATCTGTTTCAATCAATAAATCACAATTAGGTGCTAAAGCAGAATTCAAATCTTCCCGAAGGCTTCTGAGTAATGTGCAAGAAATGTACAAAGAAATACTGATTACTTTAAACAAATCCATCTCTCTAAATAGTCAACTGTTAGCTCTCTTTTAAATAGGCAGTGTTCTCAGTTTGGCATTTCCCCCAGGACACGTTTGTTAGTAGTGACACTGATGCCATTGCACAGATGTAGCTTGAGAGACAAAACTCATCTGGGTTGCAGCTGTAACAGAATAACAGTAACCTGATCCCAAACTGCAGTCACTGAAGGATGAGCTCCCAGAAGTTAGGCTGCTGCTTTACTGAGCCACTCCTCCAACTCATGCAATGAACTGTTTTCTTCAAGCAAATAGTGAATGACTTTGTGTGAATGAGATAAGTATAGATTAAAATTATTAGGCATTATCTTCGAAATATTCATAAATACGAATTAAATCTACAACTCCATGGGAAGGAGGCTGTGCTGCTGTCATCTCAGGTGGGGACAAGGGATGTTTATACCTGCATTGTTCCTGTCATCTCCCAAAGTCACCTCATCCATAAAAAAGGAGCAAAAAACAGCAGAGAAGCTGCTGTGCTGCTCTTGAAGCACACATCGAGTCCATGCCTTGCACATGGCTGCAGCCCTGGTCTCCCAGCTCAGAGCATATCATAAAGATAAAGTATGAAGCTAAGAGGGAAGAAGTGCATAAATACATGGAATGGCTTCTGTTAGAAGAAATACATAAACTCAGAGTTTTTTGGCTCAAAAAAACTGGCAGAAAAGAAGGTGATGGCAACATGCAGAGTGACTACGGTAGGATGAAATGTGAATGGGAAAGATCGGCTGTTGTTGCTCAAAATAGAAGCAGCAAAGTATCAAATGGAAGTATTTGATGATAAAAAGAAAGTACTTAGCAAACATCGCGTACTTCAGCTGCAGGATTTTTTGCCGTGGGATGCTGCTGGGTGCCAGGAGTCTACACCAACTCTGTTTAGTTAAGTTTGTGTAGGAAAAGTCCATCAGGGACTATGAAACCAGATGTACTACATGGCAATCACTGAGTGTAAGAGGGCAGCAGTGCAGAAAGCTGCTGTTGTAGGAGGCATCTCTATTTGGTCAGAGATGCATCTGGCGCTGCAGGGCATCTTTGGTCTGATCCTCTAAATTGTTATGTTCTGCATATGACTAAAATTACTTTTATTAAAATGACTGAGTGTGCATTAAATGTGAGTTCCTAGATAGATATGTTAAAACTATCTAATATAAGTTATTCTTTACTTACAGCAGTTGCTTCCTTTTGCTGGCAGCATACATTTCAGCTGTAACTGCTATGTATTTAACCAGCAACCTGTGTTTAAGATGGCAATAATGAGTGACTGCTTTTGTTTGATTTGGTATTGAAGGCTGTGTATTGAAGGTGTAACTTATGCTGTGTTTATAGCTTTGTGTGCCTTTTTGCAAAAGGATCCAGAATGACAAAGTGCTGGCTTCAGTTCAGATTACCTGGTTATTAGCATAACAGCTTCTTTATGGCAGAAAGGAAGATACTACTTCATACAATGACAGTGGGATGGGAATTAATTAGTGGTTCTTTAGGGCATGGGAGAATGTTGCTTACCAGGGCGTTTATTGAAGGCAGAAGAAGCAGTTAAGCAGATGTATGCTCCATCTCCTGCAGCAGAAATGAGCTCCTGTTCGCTCATCCTGCACTGCGGATGTTTTTGTTGTTCCTTCAAACTCACTGAGATCTCCCAGAATAGCTTTGAAATGAGCCATAGAGGTTAATCAAATCTCATGGGGATGCATATTTCCAAGGAACCACAAGCTGCACACCCCTTGGTGAAGTGTTTTACAACAGGAGGAACTTTCCAGTTGTTCACAAAAGTGCAGCAGGACTCAAAATCCTTCTGTAAGGGTACCCAGCAGAGCTTCCTGAACTCAAACAAGGGCCAAGACTGCCATAGGGCCGACCTCTGGGATTAGGTGAGTTAATAAATGAGCCACATGAATGCCCTGTACCTCGAGAAGTCATTTAGATTTCCATATGGGAGACGAAACCAGCACTGTGAGTGTGAGAGCTTCTGCGTTTTGCTGTCAGAGAAGGATGCTGATCAGAGTTCTGACTATTGGTGTCCCTGTATTTGTGCTGCTCCTTTTTGAATCAGATCATCATATTCCTGCTTCCATATGTGACCACCTGGGTCTGGCACTGCTCATTTTTACTGGTTACAGCAAGTGTCACCTGCTCATATTGCATCCTCCTATAAGTGATTTCATTTAAATTTTCTCTTTAAACAGCAGCTGAAGACAAATTACTGGGTTTAGGAACAAGTACCACCACTGGTTACTTTGTAACTTTTTTTTTTTTAATATCCAAAATTACTGATTACTCACTGATTAGTCTGTATTTATTTTTTTCCTGCATTCTTAACGTCTGCTCAAAACAATCCCCAGAACGCATCGGAAGAAGCAGAGTTTGCTCACAGTGAGAAAGCAGACGCATCTCTAGAAGCTGTGACTCCCGACAAAGACGAGAGGAGCCCAGAAGTGCTGGAAGTGAAACCTAGAAGAGAAGAAAGCAAAACCCCCAAAGCAAACCTGAGGAAGTTTTTTAAACTGGTAAGCAGAGCTGCGAACTGCGAGCTGAGCGCTGTGCCCGCCGCGAGGCTCAGGCGCGTACTGCAGCGCCCCCTGGCGGCGCGGCGTGGAAATTCCCCGTGCTGCCGGCCGCCCTTCTTCCTGCTGCTGCAGGATCCCCTATTGCACTGCCACGTATAAAGGGGGAGAGTTGCTGCTTCGGAGATTTTATGAAATAGGTGAAATAAAGGCATAGAGTCTCATCCTCTTTCCCAGAAGAGAACTGGAAGGGAGAAAGAAAGCAATGAGGTGATGAAGTGGCTGCTATTGGCGTGCAGTAATAGGCGTGGAGAGCTGAGGAATCTCTTGGCAAATGGCAGGGTTCTTCCTAAGCTTCTAGAGTGATGTCCAGCAAGGAAAGTAATCCCAGTCCAGAAATAATGTTTCCGATTAAATAAATTGTTGCTGTTGCAGACCTGAGGATTTTTATACAGCAATTGATCTATTTTGGCAAGGTTTGCCCATTTATATGAAAGAATTTTATTTTCACTCAGTACTGTTTTATTTTCAAGCACCTACATGGTGTGGGCATCAGAGTAGCTTAAACATCAAAAAATGAGGTTGTTTTCTTTTCCTTCTTATAATGCCGTGTAATAGCCCAAGTTTTCCAAACGATCACAGCTATGAGTAATCACATTGCCAAAGATTAACATTAATGAGTCAGACCCTAGGATGCAAAAGCAACACTCCAAATCTCTCCCCACCCCCTGAATTTTGCAATGTTTGGCTTTATGGTTTTTGATAGCTTCAGCCCAACACATGGTAGGTGCCTTTACTTTTTTCTTCTGGTATTACTTTGCTACACAGCCAGTCTGGTGGCTTTGAGTACCTAAACCATGATTTGTAGGATCAGCCAAGGCACTGTAGACCCAACAGGCCTTTGGTTTCAAAGGGCACTTTCAGAATTTGTCTGTTATGAATAAGGAATATGTATCCAACACTGAAGTCTCTGACAATTATGACTTCAAGTCATATAACCCTACCAAAAAAAAAAAAAAGCACTGTTTGAAAATAAAGCTATGTTCCACACCCATCTTAGTCACTATGGAAAAAAACAGCTGTGTTGAAAGAGGAGAGAGTTAATCCACAGTTTGGCCTAGACAGACAGACGTAGAATGTAGGCAGACCTTCAGACAAGTGGTTTTGTGGCTTTTTGAAGCACTTCATATTCATCTACTCTACTTTTGGCCATCAATTTCCAACCAGATCCTGAATATTGAACATAATTTTTGCCCTTTGATGTGTGTCCCAAGCAGTTTCCTTTGAATAACTTTTGGATTGCTGGATAACTGCCATGCTGTTGCACAGAATCCAAGCCATGTAGCTGTCATGCAGCTTTGTGCTGTGTAACAGTCCCATTAAGTAGTATTTTCTGATATCAGATCCCCCTGTTGTGTTATCTAAATGGGCCGTGTCTACACAAATACAAAATCCAGGGCTGCTAATTGGAAGTCACTCATTTCTCATTAATCAAATCAAAAAGCTGTCTTACCACGTGCAGAATGGGATAAGCTTAACCCACACCAGGTGTTTCAGTGGCAATGGTGACATGTGAGCCATTCCCCCTTATGCCCTGTAGAAGCAATGAGTAGAGTTGAGCAGTGCAAGAGTCCCTTTGGATCTAGACCACATCAGATGATTTGAGCCTTTAAAATTCCTGTTTTCTTCATGTTTATATACAGGAATGCAAGTTTAAATAAGAGAAATCTTTTCAAAATATCTCTTTTGTGGAGGTAAGAGAGTATAAAATAGCATTCTTTAATCCAGATGAGCAGGATTGCTAGTTGTAAACTGGGACTGAAAGCCCTTGTCCTTAGCCAGGAAGATGCTGAGCAAAACAGGTGGTCTGAAAGTGCCCTGAGTATGGTCTGTAAATAAAATAACCCATTTCTGGGCTAACAGAGATGCTCGTAGGCAGAGTAAGTAACTAACAAAACCTTCCAAATGGTATCTGCAGTGGTAGGAATTATTCTCAGCAGCTGTGCTAGCCTGCTACCCCATATAAATAGATATTTACGAAATTAATTGTAGCCTGAATCAAGTTGTCTCATCCTAGTTTTCCCATATTATTTACAAAAACATGGCAAGTTTATTGCTTGTCACAACCTGCTCCCATCTAAAGACATGATGATCCAGCCTCGTTGCTGCTGAAAGCAGAAAGTATTTTCAACACGTTTCCAGCAATAGCAATCCTAAACAACCAGAAGTGGAGTAAGGAGTCAGCAGTGCTCTGCAGAGACATCCTTGGGGTCATTAAGTCCAAATTTCACTGTGGACAAGAGGAGACTTTGTCTAGGCAAAGTTTGCAAGATGTTTGTGTGATTATTTATGCTTTTCTGGTGCGAATTGAGGAAGACGATCTAAGGTCAGCTGAAGCTTTTTTTTACTTAAAAATAGATTTAAAAAGAAAGGGGGGTTGCCATTGTGCTACAAACTTTCTTAAAGTTAGTAAATATTTCTCAAAACACTTAAAGACTCGCTGACACAGAACTGCAAGCTAAACCTTACCTCCATTTATCTTCATGCACTCTGGTCTGAGTTTCTGTTCTGCAGTCTGAGGGTAGCCCACAGTGCTTCCTCTCCCCCATTTCTACCACAGATAAAGATTCATGAGCATAAATGTGCAAGGGGCTGAGCAGAGGCTGCAGAAGGGATATTTCCCCCACAGTCTGTGAGAATTAATTAATTGCTGTGGAGCAGTTCAGCTTTCTCTCATGCTGCTGCTGCTGCATACTGATTTTTCTGTGGCTTCATAGGAAAATCAGAGACTGAAAAAAGTCCTTGCAACAACAGCATGCATAGGATCAAGCAGATAATGTGTTTCAAGTAACAAATCTGCAAGCTGCATAAAACCACAAATCGTCCTGTTGTATCTTCGGAGCAAAAGTCACATCCTTTCATTGTTTTCACTGAACATGTGCAATGAAAAATGACATTTGAACTTGGGCACGTTGAAATTCTGGAGTTTACTTTATGCTTTGCTGCTAAGCTTCGTGGCTTCTGTGGTACAGCAGGGAATACCACGCTGAACCCTCTAACGTGCTTTTTAATTAAACGTGCACATACAGTTCCTTTATATTACTAATTGTGACTGAACTTTAATGATCAAAAATCCTGCACTGTTAACTCCTCGGGCTCATTTTGTCAAGCAGTGTTTTTCTCTTTCATAAATATTTCAGATGCTTTAGGGTTGCTGTGAGTGAGCTGCATGTGTTGCAGCCTGGCAGCCCACTGTGCTGCACTGGGATGGGAAGGTGGGCACCCAGGGGGGCTGTTAGGTAGATGTATACAGAGAGAGGGCATAAACAGGCAGAAATTGGGAAAATGAATTCTGATTGGAAAAAACATATATAAAAATGTATCTGTAAAGATAAGTGGGTTTTTATTATTCAAGGAACGTGCACTTAGTGTGATGGTTCAATAGAAAGGAAGTCGCTCTAGATGTTCAAAGATGGGTTTGTCTCTGGAAAGCAAGCATATCTCTTTCCTAGAACACCACAGGGCAGGGTTGATAGCACTGCCTTGTTTACTGGCCATCATCTCTGGTCCACTGACTGAGACCTCACTGGAATTTCTTTCTGCTCCACGGGAAAATTGCCTTGCAGAAGGCAATCGCAGCACAGAAAAAAGAAGCAGCAAAAATCTACATCTGAACCGTGGCTATTTAAAAAACATTGGTGGGGATTCTGAAAGTGGAAAATGTCCTTAAACCAAACGTTGCACTGTTCCACGTCCATGTTTCCATGTTACTGACCGCTGCACAGCAGAGCCGGCTCAGAAGCGCGGTAACGCTGTGTTGTTTCAGTCAGGCAGGGGCAGTGGAGGGCCGACCCCCCTGGCAGAGGAGATTGTCCCCAGCCCTGGCCACCAAGTAAGTGCCCACAGCTTTCCTCTGTTGGTGGAGGGTTGCTTTCACCTCCTGCCATCCAGCCTTAGCTTCTGCAGTGTAACAGTCACTGACACAGCAGTGCTGTGTGCTCACCAACTTTCTGGTATTGCCTTCTTTCTTTCCTTCTCTCTATATTATATCCCTTTATACCATTAAACCAGCGTTCAAAGGCCACTGCCAGGTTAGAAATCATGGGATTTTTGTTGTCTTTAGTTACAATGGTTAAAGTTTCATTTCCTTTCTCGCCTGTTAGTTATGTTCTGCACCTACCTTGGTTTAGCCAGCAAAGCTAAATGCAGACAGATAGGATGATTCTGACTTTGCTGATTTATATTGCAGAGGAAAGGATCATTTAGGTGGGAACTCTCATAGAAGAGGGGAAAAAAGAGAGAATGAAAACTTCTCACTGCAGTTTACCAAAAGCCACAAGACGTTTTGTCTTATTTTTGTTTTGTTTTTTTGTTTTGTTTTGTTGTGTCACATCATTTCAACCGAAAGTTGAAATGTGAACTTTACATTGTATGCTCTGGAGCTTTAAAAATGCTTCCAAAAAAACCCGTATTTTCATTGGACATGGAATGTTACCTTTCCCCAGACACACAACTTTAGGACATCCAGCATAACCACCCCCAGTGGCTAAAAGCTGCAGTCCTGGATCTGTTCTTTAATATTTCATTACTTCAATTAGCATCCACTTTAAATTTTTTTGAACAACTTCTTTGTTCTGCTGCCTTTCTTATTTGCGCTCCTAGAAATTAACGCAGCACTGTGCATAAGGAGGGCTGCCTCTGCTGCTGGCTTTTTCCTTTTTTAGAATTTCTGCCCAATGATCTCCTGAAATTTTGCCATGGTGTTTCTGGAATGCTGTGATTCTTCTCTTTTCCTCACTGCCGTTCTGTGCCCCACCAAAATGCGCTCACCCAACGTCTGCTGAAATTTATGGGGTATTTCTTTCACATTTAAAATGCAGCCTTGGATTACAGCCTCCTGCAGCACCGTGGGGAAACCACTGTCCGTTAATCTCTTTTTTTTTTTTTTTCCCTTTCAGTGGCACTGTTAAAGCTGAGAGAGCAAAAGCAATCTGTCAGGTGCAGATCAGCCTGTAGAATAAGAAACATTAGCATGTTTCATTATTCATAGGTTTCACTTCGTATTTCCCGAGCTGCTCCTGTCAATATAAAATATGCCAATTTCCTGCCTTTCAAGGTTAATATGAAACACCTCAAAGAGATTATCTGATTGAATATTTTTTCTTATTTTGCCTGGAAAATATATTGTGAATATGTTTTTAGTGTTTGGGTTGGTTTTTTTTTTTTTACAAACATCAAAGGCCCAGACCTGCTCACAGAAATAGCCCTGTTGCATCCAATTTGCATTGGGCTGCAGTACTGCAACTCTCAGGCACCGACACAATTCAATGTGTGGTGAGGAAGACTCAGCTCTAATTTTACACAGAATAAACCCACAGACTTCACGGGGTGTTGGCAGGGGCTGGAAGTTATTCTGCCACCTTTGAACTCTGATATATCCATCTATAGGTGTATTTTGAGTGCTGTGGTTATTTTTGAACTGGATGTGCACATCTGCAGTTGCACTGAAGTGAAACATTTCAAAAGCAAGCAAAGGTAAAGAAGAAGGCTCTTGTAAGACTAACTGATGGAGCCAGCAACCGTGGGTTCCTGTTTGATAGTTAAAATGGGTCAGAATGAAAGACAGTATTAAACTGGAGTTTGTGGATCCCTGCTTGCCCTCATGCTGGGAGAGCTTTGTGCATCACTTGGGTCTTTGCTGTAAATTGGAGCAGGACTCTCCTCAAGTGAGGAGATGGAGGTACAGGTGGTGCCTGTGCAGCCCACCTCACTGTTCCCCTAAATTCTGAGCTGCTTGAATTTGCTTTCATCAACTGTTGCAGTTCAGATGCTGCCTACCCATGGCTTATGTGGCTGTGGGTCACAGAGCTGCATCTCTGGATTTCTTGTGCTGGTTTTACATGTCCTGCAGAACAAGAGCAAAGGCTAACTTCATGATTCTTTCTTTTTATTTCAATTCTAAAAGCAGACAAATCCAGCTGTGAGCAAATACCCACATGTGTCTGCCCTTGGGAAAGGGAAATAGTTAAATCCAAGCACATTTTGTTGAGGACTTAAGCTAAATGGTCAAGACTGAATGTATTAAATGTGGGACTAAAGATTCCATGACACACAGTCAGTGGTTGTTTTTGTTTTAAGATAAGGTTGGGAAGAAAGGAGAATCAAGTGAAGAGAGCCAGTAGTATTGCTACTGCTTCCCATTCTTGTCTGCCCAAAATTAGAGTCACCTAAGGGGTTGATTTTTTTTATTTTTATTATTTTTTAAGTAGATTTGAGAGGCATATTTGCATTCTAGAGAGTTTCTCCTTTCTGGTTTTTGTCTGAAGCCATGATGTCCAAAAATGCATTTGTTTTAAATGGAAGCTAAGCTCGTCCTGTAAGACTCTGGGTCTTTAGAAGAACATCAGCCATTAAAAGAGTAACAGTAAAATCCCCAAAGCTGGAAAAGTGACATATCTTTAAGCTCTGAGCTGTGCAGATGTAAGATTTCCAACTTTTTGACATGGCAAATTCATGTGTTTAATTATCTCAATGTTTTAATATTTTAATAAGATTTTTTTTTTTTTTGCATAAGAGAAAAACCTATCTAGTCATTTGCTACTGTGAAAATAGTGACAATTTCATTCTCCTGCCACCTATTTTCCTGCCATCTTCAAGCACATCCTGTACTTTTCTGAGTTTCAGAATCTTTGCCTTCACTACAAATAAGTGCACTGACATTGCTGTCTTTGGGATATTACCATCTCTTCTTTTGCACTTGTGGATGGCATTTTCTGTGTGTTTTTCCACAGCCATGCCCAATTTTTAGTTTTTGATGCGGTGTTGGGGTTTTGTAGAGATGCTCTGTGCCTCTGTGTGTGTGATCCCTGACTCCTAATGCAGCTGGAGCATTCACATACCTGTCGGTAAGGCTGGATGATGGCCTGATGTTGCCATCTCTGCCCGGGTCAGTCAGCTCCCTGGGAGTTCTTACTTCCATGAGTCAAGGCTCAAACTCTGGAAATGGACACCTGTTGGATAGCAGGATTTCTCCCTGCCAGGTGGCCTTTCATGCTTAAACATACTTACGGATCGCTTTCCAAAATGTTTACTTTTCCCACTAAAAATAACCGTTGTTTGAAACTGCTTTAGACGCTAAACTCCACAGAGAGGCCAGTTGCAACAGCTGAAAGTGAACCAGTGGGCCAAAAAAGCAAGGAGAGTTCCAAAGACAAGAAGCCGCCAGCGGAGCTGAGCAAGCAGAAGGGCAGCAAGCAGGAAACCAGAGAGCAGCCAGACTGCAGGGAGCAGCACGCAGCTGAGACCGACTCCATCCAGAGCGGAGGGGATGCTGCCAAGGACCCCACCTCCTTCAAGAGGATGGAGAAGAGGCAGTCGTTTGGAGGGTTTTTTAAAGGCCTTGTACGTTATGTTGATCCTATCTTTATAAGTTATTTCTTAACTAGTTTTAACTCCCAACCTGCAGGCTGTTAACCCTGTCAGATTTGTGCTCTGATGCACAGTGAGTCCATGTCAGGAGTGTCATTTTGTAGGCAGCTTGCAGGATTAGAGCTAAAATGCAATGTGTTGGTCAAAGGCAAGAAAACTTGGGCCTTAGGGTAGTGATTTACAGGTACAGTGAACTGTGGGACAGCCATAATTGCTCCCACACCCCTGCTTCACAGGTTCATGCCTTGGCCATGGGGATGATTCAACTGCTCCTGTAGCGGGTGCTGAACCACCTACAAATTATGGTGTGTGTACATGAAGGAAAAGTGAGGGTGGTGTCAGTTTGCCAAGGCGTGCTGCCTCCACACTGGTAGCTCAGTTGCTGCTCTGGAGCAGATGGTGCATCCCTGCAAGGAGCAGTGGACCAAACTCCAGGAGAAAATCAAAGCATTCCTCTTGCTGGTTGGAAACGAGCACAGATGTCACAAGATAAGCTCCAAGAATTAGTAATCAACCACAGACCAGCAAATGAAAAATTACACGTTATTTTTTCTCTTTTTGTCAAAATGTACTGTAAAATTGATATGCTCCCTTTCACTGAAACCTTAAATGTAGATATGAAAGAATTCAGGACACTAAAAATCTGAGTTTCTGTAAGGCTTGCTATTACTCATGCAACAAATGCTTCCTCAGAGCACTAAATGCATATATTTCTTTTCTCCTGTTTGCATTCAGGGTGCAGGTTAGACATGGAACTGCCTCTGGAGCCTCTCTGCAAGAGTGCAGATTTCCATTACTTTTGATAGATCATCTGAAAGGAAGCATTTTGCATCTTTCCTCACATTGCCACAATGAGTATAGAGTTATGGGGTCACTTTTAGCATCCTTTGGAAAACTTGTAACCTGAGCTTCATCACAAAGTTCAAGTGGTGCAAAGAATATGAACTGATTGAACGTTACCTGCCATGATTCCAGTGAATCTGGTTCCTCTTGAGAGCTGGTCAGCTTTTATCCCTTCCTTCCTACTCTGCTTCTAAGAGTGTCACAGAAGAAAAAGACAGCCAAGAAATCCTCCAGGTCTGAAAGAAATGTCAAGCAATACAGAGTGAAATGGTAGCATGGATCTGAAAATGAGCCCCATTAGGACTTGGGGTTATGCAGTCCGGCTGCCATGCAGACCAATGTGAGTCATTCTGAGGCAGACGTTTTTCCACATCATAAGAAGTGTTTAATTTGCACGCATTTCACTGAATTACTCTGTATCCCAGAGAAGGCTATTTGACTTACCAAAATAATTAAATATTGGTAGGGGGATTAAGAACAAAAGCGAATGTCATTTGGCAATATGATTGGCAGTAGGATAGTTCAGCTTCTGTTTTCTGCATCCCCCCCACCACACACACACACAGTTCAGAGTAAAATCCTGATCTGTAAAGAATCCCTGGGATGTTCCTATATGTTTAATAGGAGCAAGGAAATTCTGGAACTGGCTTGGAGTATCTACCAACTTGCACTGGTTTGGTTCAGCTTGGAACCCGGTGAAGTCAAAAGGAGAAATCTTTCCTTGGCACAGTCTCAGGAAGGAAGACTCATTAATCTGAAAGTATTAGATTAGACACAAACCAACGCCAGAAATTTCTTGTTGAGATAACAGTGCAGATCTCTGGTAACAACTCAGAAAAAATACTAAGCTTTGTGCTGACGAAACAGGAGCAGGACACACTAAGAAAGAGATCCAGGAGGCCTCACTTGTGTAACCCATGGCCACGGAGCTCCTCCTGAACTCTGGCAAGCTATTTCCATCGCAGCTATTTTAACACCACTTTCTCCTCAATGCATTGAGTCCTCTGGGAAAGGGCAAAGAGTGAGAGGATGTCATAGTCCAGGAATGCAGCTGATGGAGAAGCTTCAGTTCAAACATCTGCTCCCACTTGGGCTGAAAAATACTGAAATTTTTAATACAAATGAAGCCACTTATGCAGGCAAAAAATACCATGGCCTGGCTGCTTGATTTTGGCACTGAACATAAGGTGTAATATCTGCTCTTATGGCTAAAGAGATGAATTTCTAAGCTACATGAAATACAAAGGCATTCAGTGAGAATTAGAAAAGTTAGATTTGATAATAACAGAACAAATAATTACATCATTTTCTGAGCTACAATAACTCGTGCTGACATTGTCAGAAGCTGGGAGTGCTCAGCACGTGGGAAATGTTCTGATCTGTTCAGATCTGACACGAACTTCTGATCAAAAAAAAAACAACCTCCAACACTGTGACATTCCTGGGTTTGCACTTGGAGGCGTTCTGCCCAAAGTGTTCCAGCCAAGCTGTCACAAATGCAGACAACTTTCACTGCACTGAAAAGGGCCATGCAGAGTAATTGAGAGCGAGACATGGGCAGTAATACCTGTGCTTAAGAATCCGATGGCAGAGCTGGAATTTGGCCATTAAAAGGGCAGGAACAAAGTTCTTTATTTTATGTGGTGCTTGGAAATTCCAGTTTAGCAAGAATCATCAGCCCTCTCCCTCACAGCTTCCTGCTTTGCTCAGCAATCACCTTGAAAATGGGTGCAGCAGGGAGACTCGTATTGGCAAATAACGTGAGACACTTCTGCAAATGTGCTAAATGAGTCAAAACGGGGATTATCTGAAATGAGCTTTTCCTCCCCTACGTTTTCCTCCACCCAATCTGCATCATTTACAGGAAGGATGGCAAATGGTATCATCTTGTTTTGTAGGTCAGCATAGAAATTTTCAGTATTTTCACGTGTTGGACGGAATAGCTGCAGCTCAAAGTGAGTCTTATAGGGGAGGAAATCTAACTTGAGGTTTTTGCTGAACGAGCCCTAATGATGCAAACAAATCATTCACCAAACAAATGACATTTGGCATTGTGTGACAGACATTACAACCTGCTACTTTTTTAAAGTGGCTTTTCTTTGTTGCTGCACGTAAGTGGCAAAACAATAATCATTCTGTTCTAGCATCTTCAAAATGATGTAACTAGAAGCAAACCCACTGCCAGCAATGGTGTTTCACTCACCCACCCCAGCACAGGACTGCAGTTATGTTCAGGCAGGAAATGTTTTCAGTCCATTGCAATTGCTGTCTGTTCTTCTTTATACTTAGATTTACAAAGGTGAAAAGTTGAAGGCGTATCAGTGCGGTGAAGTCTAATCGCTCTAAAAAAAACACTGATCTTATTTCTCTGAAAGGAATGAGGAAGTTGAGGTCTTTCTCTCCCCATATGACACAGAATAGTCCCATGGTGTCTCAAAGTGATGAGTCAGGTTCCCAGTATGAAGCATGCTGTGTGAATGGACATTTCATGCACGATTCTGCACAGTTCATATTGTAGAGAAAGCACACAGCCCCTTTTAACACTGTCACTGTGTTTTTCTGCTCAGCCTGCAATGATTTAGGCATGGGACTACAAACAGAACCAGCATCCATACGCACTGTTAACAGCCATCTCTTCGTGTTTGTGGATCCATTTTGCTGCTGTGTTCTTGAGATTCAATGGCTTTAAGGCCAGCAAAATCAGGTCAAGGTACCTTAAACTAGAGCCACGTTTCTATTAATTATTAGCCAAAAATTTAGTTGGCAAAGCTGGATCTGTACACTTCCTCAACCTAAACTGGATTAGTGTCTTGAACTGGTTCCAGACCTGGAATTATATGTGTCGTGTAGAAAAGTTTTATCGCTCTAACATTGTCAAATATCTGTCGTGCATGAAAGTATTTAATGCTCCTTTAACTCAGAGCAGACCAAGGCTGGCTATAATACACTATTAATCATGCTTGAGAGGCTCCCAGCATGGCTTCAATAAACCATTTAGGCCAGAGATATTTTAGTGAGAATTGGCCAGAACTGTAATGCTGAAAGTAAGCAGCAACATGTCTCCGGTATGTTGGTCCACTTCCTAAGCACAATCATTTTTTATGTTGATTGGGAAAATTATATTAAAGATACATTAAAATAATAAGTTAAGCAAACTCACAGGCGGCGTTGTTTTGGGACTGTCAGGATGTGTTCATATACTTATATAAACTAAGTGAGCAGTCAATTAGGAAAAGCAAAGGGCAGGAATGAGAAAAGATGGAATGGCAAAGCTCTAACATGTAATCCCTGACCTAACAACAACAACAAAAAAAGTTTATACATTTCTGTATCTTATTCCACAGGGTTCCAAAAGGATGTCTGATGCTGAAGTGCAGACAGATCCAGTGTCTATCCTACCTGCTGGGAAATCCAAGTAATGGCTGTGGGAGGATGGGCAGCTCCCTGTGAGCTCACCTGCACCAGAGATGATGCATTATTTTCCTTTAGGTGGCTGTCATCAAATGCCCAAGGCTCAAGCAAACGCTGGAGTATCTTGTAAGGTGTATCATTTGCAGGGTTTGTTCTTTAGATGTTAGAAAGAAAATGTGAAGATCATCAAGAATGTGTAGTAGTATATTTAAAGAAAGGTCATGTGGATGATTTTTAGCCTGTGGAAGGTAGGGAATGTAAGGTAAGAAAGTGGCAGTGAATTAAATAAATAGCAGAAAAAGTGCACGTGACAAAGGAATGCAGTTTGTGCAGCAGGGTGTGAGCAACAAATCCTCAGCTTTAGAGAGCTTTAAATTAGCCAGGAAAAGAAAATCTCCTCTGATAAACGTTATACTCAAATGTAAAAACAACCAAGTCCCCTTTTGTGGTTTTCTATAGTGCTGAAATTAGCCATAAGCCTGCAGTCCGATAGAATCAGCGGTTCTAAAGTTACGCTTCGTCTTGGTTATTAATGTAAATTACAAAGCTAAAACGCAAAGGTTTTTCCGTGGTTGAGGCAACTTCTCTCCTGTCTTGGCGAGGCAGGATAACAAATTTAAAGCTGTTTGAGGTTCTAATGGAACACACGGGGGCAGCCGCGTCCCCACGCTGCCCTAACGCCAGGCTGCGCCTCCGATCCTGCTCCTAATGTTTGGCAGATGATAGGAAGAAATGCTTAGCTGCTTCCGATATTTGTTTATATTCGTATTTGTAATTAATCCTAATAAAATCAAAGCTGCCCAGGCAGCTCCCTGCTTCACGAGGCTCCTGTAATAACTGTGGTTAATAAATTTTACAGAAAACAGAGGTGTTGGTGCCTTATTCAGCCCTGGGCTCACTCAAACAAGGAGCTGTAAGCCTGATGTTTTAAGGCACGTTTGTGTCTGAAAGATGCAGTACTGTACGTTATTGGCTCCTTATGATTAAATAAATAAATACTAATCCTTTAAAAAAAAAATTAAAAGCTGCTTTACTCTTGAGACAAAATTCTTTATTTACATCCCTGTTCTCGGATGATTGATGTGACCTTTAGGTATAAATCAACACACTGAAGTCCTGCCTGTGAAGTGAATAGCTGTCGTTATTTGAGAAAGGATTACTACAGGCAACCAAATGTGAATTCTGTAAGATCTGTGGGACCACATTTCTAACTAGAAATGAGCCAAAGAAGAACGAGGTAAAAGAGTCATTTTTCTTTGCAGGAATCACTGGAGATGGACAGTATTTCTGCACTGCCCTGTGGGCTTGATGCAGACCACCAAAACTCACCCATGCTTCAGGTGTAGAAAGCAGAGACAAAAGGCCTTTGAGTTATAGGAGCACCTTCTGTTCTGCTCCCAGGCTCCATGGGCTTTTAACATACAGAGATATCACCATCAGTGACTGCTTACAGATTTCAAACCTGATTCATAACAGTGTACTTCTACTGCTGCGTGGGACCTGGATCTCCGTTTATGACATCAAGAGGGAAGAACTGGGATTGTTATATCCAACACCGCAACAAAACAAAATGGTTTTAGGCTTGGTCTATGCCACAGGAGCACACAGTTTTAATTAAATCAGTGAATGCAAGGCTACGGTGTGACAATCAGCATGGTTACATGTGTGTATGAAAGAGCTAGATGTCAGCACAGTGAATGCCATCAGGAAAAGAGAATAAGCTATCATGCTGTAACTGTGACTTCAAGCCCCATGTGTAATTGCCTCTGTATTAGAATAGCACCTCATCTATTTTTAAATGAAAAACAACAAGCTAATTAATCATATTATAGGCACCATATTATTATTACTGCATTGCAGATAGTATAAATGTTATTACATTATGGATAGATCAGATCTTCTGTATAAGATGACTCTTTGCTGGTCAGTGCTTCTGGAGCAGAACTGCACTGATTGCCATTCTGTCCTCCTGAGGCAATGAGGGCTGCTGAGATGTGCTCTGTCCCTTTCCCTTGGCAGTGGGGTTAACTTCAGGAATCAGGAAATCCTCTTGGCAGAAAAACAAGAAAAACAGCAAGTTTGGCTGCGGGTGCCCCGGTGCCACGGAGCTGTTATTGCAGATGAAATAAGGGTTCTGTTGGCAGTGCCTCCTGCAGAGAAATTCCCCGTTTTGTTTGATTCCTCTCTGACAACAGGAAAAGGAGAGCTCTGAGGAAGCGAGTCAGCCTTCTTATAATGCAGCACAGGGAGTCCCAAGAGGAACTGAAGTCTTAGGAGATGTATCCCCAGTGAAGTCGAGCTTCCGCATTCCACATGCTGTATAAGAAACATGAAAGTACAGCTGTTGTGTTCAGGCCCGCTAAAGCTTAACGAGTCGTTGGGAAATCAAAGCTTTGGGAAGGACTGCAATCCTAGACAAAGGAGAAGAGCAGCCAAACCAAGGCATGGCATTTAGGCTGTGCTGTCAGCAAACAGCCCTGGTTTTGTACATAAGATCTTTTGAGGGGAACTGAAGCAGATCAGACTGCTTCAGGTACGCACGTGCAAAAGAGTTTTAAGGACAGAATGAGATCTCATGATGATATAAATAAGCCAGGGAATGGATTTTAACTGCTGCTTTTTGCGTGTGAAGCACTCCTCTCCGGTGGACAGGCATTTACCCCCTGGTCTGCCCTCCTTCATGCAGTGCAGGGCTGGGGCTGGGCCATGCTCTGTCCAAGCATGTGGAGATGAGCACCATCGCAGCAGCCTGGGTGCTGTGGGTTTTCATAGCCTGAAAGCAAATCATCTCCTTTGAAAGTGTATCAGAGCTCAATTGCTTTTCTCTGGAATCTGTCCAGATGTCTAACTTCGATACACTTCAAGGTGGGTTCTACAGATAATTCCCAGCTAAACTGCCCTGCGCTGCCTCGTACAACACACAGAACAATGTCATATCCGGTTTTAAACAGTCCACCCATTAATTGTATGCATAACCAGCCGCTAATTACCAGTACACACAAAATAAATAATTGCACTTCAGCAGCTAGTACTTGTTTGGTCTAAGCATCACCCTCAGCCTCTCTCAAAATACATCAACAACAACAAACCACCCTTTCCAAGCCTGTCCTGTGCATGGCAGCAGGGCTGGAGGCTCTGAGCAGCCCTTGTTGCTCTGCAGGCCCAGCCCCAGGGCTGCCCTTGGGCCCCTCACCGTCCCGGTGCCCTCAGCCCCACTGCCTGCATGCTGGGCTGCTCACTGCCTGGGTGCCCATCTGAGCATGAGACTGTCATGCAGAGCACAGGCTGCTGGGGCACTGAGTTTCATGGTACATTACTTCTTGCGGTTTTCATGTTGTCTTAGCTTTGTCTTAGCCGTGCTTATATGCCCCAAAATATCATAATAATGGCCTGGTTCCTGTGTAATACATCTTCTGAGGTTCCTTGTGGGTTGCATGTCTACCGAAACTACTTGCTGAATTGTGTTTCCAAGGAGAAGACCAGCAAAGAAAGGAACACACCTGAGAGCACCTCACACCTGTGCTGTCTACTTGTTGGCCATGCCAGGCCTGTATCCCACCTCTGCATGGTATGGAGCTGGAGCAGCACTCCAGCTGGGAGAGGAGCTGTGTTCTGCTCCTTAATGACAAAGCTGTGCGTTAGAGATAACTGGGGAGGTGTGCTCACACTGAAAGCAGGCTCCAGCCAGGGAATGGACAGAGCTGCTGCCAGGGTGGGTATATGTGGCTGTGTGTCACACTGCTAGCCCTGCACCTTGTGCTTTTACAGCATTGTGCCTGCCTTTGTGCTCTTCTGTACGTAAGCATTTACAGCTGGCTTTGGGAAGGCATGCAAGAAAATCTGTGCTTTCAGACTGAGAAAGGATAGCATGGCAATAAATACACACAGGGTTAGAGTGCAGAGGATTTGTGGCTGTGGGGACTGAGCCCACTTGCGAGCACAGAAATGGGATAGCTGTAATTTCTTTATATTCATCTGAGAATATCAGTGAAGAAGCTGGATTTGCTATAGGCTCCACCTCTTCTGGATAACACACCCAAGTCTTTACTGGCAACTTCAGCAGTTTAGCAGTTCTGAGAATACAAAAACAGGAAATTCTGCACCCGCCTTGACAGAGACTGAAGGACTGAACAGATTCCTTCAACACTGCATTTTTTTTTTTTTTTTTTTTTTTGAGAACAAATTATGAAAAGCTTTGAAGAAAAATAAATCCCTTATCAACATTCTTTGCTTTTTTTCTTAATCCTGCAGAGGAAGCATTAACAATTTGCTTTTAAACCGGAAAGGTACGAAGTCCAAATTCCTCCCTTATCACATCCCACTGTAATCAGGTGATGCAGCACTTGACACTGCCCCGTCACCTTGACACAGAGCAATGGGGTCCCTTATGACCATAGCAGTGTATGACACAGATCCTCAACACAATCCCAATCCTGAAGCAGACCCAGGTAAATGTGGAACAGCTCTGAGTACCGAGGGAACTCACTGATGCTGGGCACAGAAGCATTTTGGTGGTTGTTTACAACTGTGCTATAGCAAAGGACTCCATCAGAACCACGAGCCATGTAAATTTCATTCCAGTGTAACTAAATCCATACTAAGGCTTTTAGAAACATAATGTCTGCTCCTGAAAAACTTTTGGGGTCCCCTCTCGCACTCTCTAACCTCCAATCAATCCTACTGGTAAGCTTATGAGGGAAACCAGGCCTCGTCTCCCACAGTCTGCTGTGGCGGTGGGACACACACAGGTCCTGCAAGGGTTAACTGCTGCCGTGGGGTGGGCCGGCACAGCTGGTGGCAGTAAAGGAGCTAAACTCTCTTTGAGAGGGATTGGGAAAGAATATAAAGGTAGCATGGCAGCTGCCCTGGGAGGGGATTGACTGCGGAGAGAACCCAGGTAGGAGTGGTCTGCTTCCTAATGGGGGCAGATGGGCTGGGTGGGGGGTGGTTTGGTTTGGTTTGTGCTGTACTGGTGTGTGTGTTCAGTCTTTCATGGGGAGTCTTATGGCCTCTGAAGGGGATGTTGGTCCTTACTAAGCAAGCCTGTCTGGTTTTAGGTCTTGTGGAGATTGTGGTGTGGCTGGTTTGGGAAGGTTGTGGCAATATCTTGGCTCGTTTGTGAAGGATTTGGGAATGTTGTGCACCTGTAAGTCGGTGATGTCAGCCAGTGCGGTGATTTTGTTACGAGTTTAAACATGGATTCAGCCACTTAACTTCAACCTGGAAACATAAACAACTCTGATCCCGGTTGATACTTTGTTAAAGGTGAATGGCTGTGCTAAAATGTAAACTTACTGATAGCCAGGAGTAGTGGGAATCCTCCTCGGAGCAACAGCAAGCTCTGCCTTTTTGCACTGGCCGTGGTGAGAGGAGGCTGCAGGCAGGAGGTTTGTGTGCAGCATCTCGGTGTGCGATGGCTCCTGGCACGGCTGCATCACAGCGCTGCTGTCTGTGCACGCCGTGCACGACGCTCCTCTGGTGCATTTTGAAGCGGTTGCTGGGTTAATCCCTTTCTCGGCCTCTGAATTTAAAGCTCGTAGTCAGCCTTGATTGTGATTTAGAAGAGGTGCAGAGGGAACTTGGAACGTGCGGAGTGCCCAGGAGGAGCAGAGCACGAAGGGTTAAGGGCAGCCTGCCTTGTCCCGTGTCAGTCCCGGCCGTTGACCTGCAGTGATGTAACACAATACGGACACCGGGGTTTGTACCGAATGTCACTTTGAAACAAAGCATGTGCTTCTAGAGAAAGTTGTTTGTTTCTCCTGAGCCCAAAATTAAGCATTCGTCATCTTGTCTCCTGTGAAGCATATTGTTGTAGCTTGGAGGAAACTGAAACTAAACCATATGTTGGAAGTGGGGGAATTTAGAGAGGATATTCCTTTTTCTTTCTTTCTGATAAATCTGTGCTTCATTTTTCCAGCTTCAGGGAGGAAAAAACCAGTGATTTCTGCAGACGGGGTGAAATTGGCAGTGACTATTTCTAGTCCGTTACACGAGAGTAGGTGCTTTCAAGTACTTGGAA